TTTTAGCTGCAAAAAAGCTGTGCACCCACTAGTAGCTGGCCCACATATAGTTCAGTCTGTTTTTCCAGTGTGTGGGTTGTCACTCCTCTGGGACTGATGAGAGAATCAGGGTTGCAGGTCCCATTAACTACCTTAGGCTGAAAAGAAAGCAGCACTAGGAGAGGTGTTAGGGTCTTATATGGGCTTGAATCAGCACAGGTGGATGTTGGAATCTTGGTGGGTGAGGAAAGAGGGGCTCAAGGATTGTTTAAAGAAGGGCAGGCAGGCCCTAATGAGGTTTCTAGAGTTTGATCTAGTAACATTATCTAGGGACAATATTTTATGAAGTTTGAGAAACACTGCCATACTTCATTTATTATAGTGCAAGAAAACATCCACATAGTTTTCCCTTTTTGAGTATGAATCACAGTAGATCAGGTATCAGCCCGCTTCATGCCCCACCAGTGAACAAGTTAATTAGTTTTTTGAAAGAGGCACTACTTGCAAAGTGCCTCAAAGATTTCCAGAGTCCTCTTAATCTCCCGGATTTGTTTAGCGAGGGTATGGACAGGTTGCATGGAGCGGTCCAACTCCTCGCACCTTGCCATCAGAGTGTACATCCCTTTGATGCTCATGTCCACAGATTCACCCAAGCTGTCTACAGCATCCCGGTAAGTCTGGATGTACCCAACGCTCAGGGCTGTCATGTTCTGGATAGCGCTGTTCAAGCCTCTTAGCATCTGGTCCACCTTCTGCGCCACATCCCTAGTGAGCCTTTCCAGATCCCTAATCACCTGTGGGTCAATGGGAGGTATATCTGCAGTTTTGCCCCTAACAGACAACTGCGACGACACTGATGAGGAGGAGGTGGGTTCTGTGTCATCCAGACTGCCCCGGGAGCTCATCTTGATCTTCATCTGCAGGTTGTTGGCCACAAAGTGTGTCAGGTCCCCGTCATGGCTCACTGTCCCTTCTAGCTCCAAAGCGCTGGATATGGTAGCCCTCCTACCTTCCTGAGCCTTGGATGCTCCATACACTTGGCTTATCCCATCCAGGCTATGACTGTCCAACAAACGGCCTCCAGCCATCCTTTCGCGGGCTGCCACCCGCAGCCTCCTGGATTCTTCCCCAGCCACAGACGATGACGACGAGGAGGAGGACGTTGGGGTCTGTATATGCACCTGAGCCATTATATGCTGTCCCTCCATTACGTAATATAGCAAGAAGATCTAGGATGCGAGAAGTAAAGATCAAGATGCAGACCCTGAAGGAGGAGCTTCGGAGGAGACAAAAAAAGATACCAGAGACAACGCGCAAGAGGGATTCAAGTTGCCCATTTCCTGCATCTGAGCACCAGGTGACCGGTCGGCGCCTCTAATGGGCGGAGAATCCTCAAGGAAGAGGCGGAGGATGAGAGTAGGTTCGCTGGGAGAACAAATGGGAGATTCTCATTGGTGCGTCTCACGTTCTTTAAGAGGAATAGCCAGTCAACGTGAAGCAAGAGGCGTATATCGGGCGCTCTATATGATCGGTCAAGCTCTTTTGCCGGAAGAGGTCTGACGCAAGATAGCGTTCTCGATATACCAGGGGAAAGGAAGGTTGGTATCAAGATTCACCAGTCAAAAAATTGGGAAGTCTTAAAGGCTCCCGCAGGGCGGTAAATGTCATCCTACTCTGTCGTAGAGGCTTGTCAGACCGAAATGCCAGTATTTTCAAAACTGAAGCTTAGAGATAACAAACAAAACCTGCATTTCCAAAGGCAATATGTATTTTTTATTTACTGACGTAGGCTGCAATCCTAATCTCAAATTAGCTGGGAGTAAACCCCATTGAATTCAATACAATTTACTTCTGAGTTGACGTGGTTAGGCTTGTGTTCTTAACTCCTGGAGGGAATTTTATGGGTTTGGTGTTTTTTTACAAAATTGGACCCCACCGACAAAGTCTGAAGTGTCTGTACACCAGTTCTTCTTTGTGTTGAAGGACAGAAGGTATGAAAACACAAACTTCCCCTGAACTATATGTGGAGCTGTCATTTTCAGGACGAATAAATACTCTAAAACAGTAACTTGGAACCTCAGGACCATTATCCAAATAAGTACACCACCTCCTTTCTGATCTTCTGCAAATTGTCCCCACATTGTCCCATTGTGTTCTTAATGGGGCCAAAGGAACAAGAGCCATCCACTCCTATTCCAGGTAGAACGGCAGAGAAGACCAGCCTGACCTAAGCTTGACAAAAGGACTTGCTTTTAGTTCACCACTTTGTTTTGTCTTTGAAAAACTGCTCTTCCTCCTTTACCTCCTGCTCCCATCTTTGTGTGTCCTTTGTCTTTTTAGATTGCAAGCCTGATGGAAGGACACCTCTTACTCTTACTGATGCAAGTCACTATGTGAGACAATAGGTTTTATCCAACTAAGTTCTATTCAGAGTAGACCCATCGAAATGAATGAACCTAATCATCATATCCCTTAGTGCAATGGGTCTATTAACAGACTAGCTTTGACTGCATCTCATTAATTATCTGAAAAATTGGATAGAAACACTAAATACATCATATGTGGTGGGAGTGTAAAAAGGTGAAAGACTTCTGGGAAATGATATACAATGAATTGAAAAAGATGTTGAAATATACGTTCGTTAAAAAACCAGAAGCCTTTCTATTAGGAATGGTAGGAAACGAAATCAATAAGAGAGACTGTAAACTGTTTCAATATGCAGTGACTGCCGCAAGGATAATTCTGGCCCAAAGATGGAAACAGGAAGAAATTCCAACAGTGGAAGAATGGAGAAGGAAATTGACCGAATATGCAGAATTGGACAAATTGACTGGGAAGATTCGATACCAGAAAGACCAAAAGTTTATTGAGGACTGGGGGAAATTTACAGAATATCTGAAAAATATATGTGATGCACAGACAACGCTTGTTGGTTTTGAAGAGACTCTGTAAAATAGTAAAAAATACTGCAAAAAAGAGAGTAAGAGGAAAAGGAGTGGGGAAAGGCAATATCATGTTTAGAAATGCGTCAATAAATAGAAATTTTTTGAAAGATTGACAGAGAAACTGAGGGAAGTCAAAAATTGAAGCATGAGTGTAAAATAATTTGTTGACTGTATAAAACTTGTTTGGAAAATGAATAAAAATTATTTTTTAAAAAAAGAAACACTAAATACATAATCAGTCCGATGTAAGTAGGCAGGGGGATGCCTTTTCATGAGATTTCCCCCAAGAGAAGGTGAAAGCAATGTTGCCGGAAACCCGGAAAGATGTTATTTTCCTTCAAAACAGGACATTTAATAGCATATCGTATAGCTACATTTCCCAGGCAGGTGCGTGACTGATGGATGTAAAGATTAAGAGTGTTGTTTGTACCGTTGTGTTTGAAGAGAGCAAATGCCTTAAGAATACTTCCTGAGCTTGAGATGGAAATCTTTCAATCCTGTTCTCTCGCATTTCCCTTTTGCGATCCTTTCATCTTGCCTTTTCTCCTGTTATGCGTTTAGTGTTAAATCTATTCTTATTTTTTTTTGTGTTGTTAGTTCCATATTTTTTTGTGTATAAAGAATTGAGTTCATTTGTTGTTAAGTGAGCAAACTGCTAATTGTAACCATCACTAAAATTTCTGGCTTTGAGCTATTGCCTACTGTTATGCAAATACAGTTTCTAGCTTTACAGATGTTTTAAAAAAAAGGAAAGTAACTGCGCTGTTCATGGTTTTCTTTGAATGTTTAGTAGTCATGTCCTACACAAACCCTGGTAGGGTAGGCATTCAGTTGACCCATTTGCAGAACTGAGGATTGGAAATGGAAAGATTGTAAAAACTGTGCCTCTAGTGAGACTACAATTGAGTGAAGAGTTGAACCAAGGTTATCTAGGTTCATTGTTCGTTATCCCTATTTCCTCCACCCCGCCAATGAAATTGGCTCTTGCTTATTGGAAACACTCTTCCATAAATGCATTTTTAAAAGGACTAAGTTAAGTTCTCTTGAGTTTTTTATTTGGTTTTTAAAAATTAATTCAAGCATAAGTGATACCTTTCTGTCAGAGAAGCCAGTGAAGTTGTAAATGAAATCATGGCCTGAGGGTGGTTTTAATAAAATAAGGCTACATATATTTTCTTTTAAAGAGCTGCCTTCTGTATGACAAGGACAGACCAGTTCAGCAGAAGATAATATATGTTGCTTAAATTCAGAGCCACAACTCCTTCTAACCTCCAGAAAACTCTGTAAGATACCCACCTCACTTTCATCATCCATTAGAAATATGTGGAGGAGGAGCCATAACTTGAGCCCAAGAAAGAGCAAAATGAGTGGTAAAGAATTCCTGTTTCGTAAAAAGAGTGCAAACAATGTTTCAAGGGTTTTAACACCACTATGAAGAAATGTTTCCTGTATCTTTTCCCTGTGGCAACAAAAAAACAAAGCAAAATCCAACTTTCTGCTGTGGGACTACAACTGATAGCATATGTCAGGCACGTCCAACTGCGATCTACTCCCAGTATAAAAAAACTGGCAGTGATCTACCCATTGTCATTGGAGGGAGGAGGAGCGTGCGTGGGGTAGGGGGATTGCCCAGAGTTGTTGAGCTTTTTCTGTGGAGGATTGCCCAGAGTTGTCGAGCTTTTCTGGGGTAGGATTGCCCAGAGTTCTTCAGCATTTATTTGTTAACTTTTGGTAAACTTTATTTAATCCCATGATCGATAAGGGTCCTGTCAGAAAACAGACAATGTGAACACTGCCCAAGCCATTTTCAAGGTGACATGGCACTATTCCTTTATAAACTAGCACAATGCATGGAGGGGGTGTTCACAACCTGGCCCAAAAGTAGGGATAGAGAACCTGTGGCCCTCCAGATGTTGTTGGATCAACTCTCATCAGCCCCAGGCAGCACAGCCAATGATCTGGGAGAGTAGTCCAACAACATTAGAGACACTGCAGGTTCCTAATCCCTGCCCTAGGGCAAAGATTGAGACATAGTGTATTAACATTGCTACTGGAAAATATTGACTGCAGCACCACTGTTGTCATCATGCCTTTAATACATTGTGAATGCAGAGAGACATTTTAGCACAATCACCTCCTGGGAATACTCATTCCCCTCCATGCCATCTACCCCTCATATTAATTGGTTACATGGCCACTACAAGTGCTGCCTGCAATTCTAGTTTTATACCTTCCAAATTGCATGTGCAACTTTGGAGCACCCAAACACTTTTTTTCTTTTTAAAGTGGGTTTTCAAGACCACAAACTCCCCAAGCTGACCCACAGAATATGATCAGCCAATAATTTCTTTGAGTTAAGGCTCTGCTCTGGAACCTCTTCTGAATCTGCTCCCTGCCAAGGGGACACTGCATGAACCCAGGTAATGAAGAATGCTGTTCAGGATATACTGAATTCATTTTCCTCACCACTGAGTATTCATAACCAAGCTATACAATTTTGGGATTAGACTGCAGGATTTGAGGGTTGGTAAACATGGTTCAAGGCAGGTTTCAGTTCCAATAGCACTCTTTTCAGAGGTCTATCCTTACAGTGCTCCAAGTTTAGATTTATCTTTCTCCCTCCAAGACAGAACCCCTTGTCACATGTGGGAGTTTCTGGGACAGCCCTGGCACATTTGTTTGAAAAACCCACAAAGCCTGACATCGTGCCCACAATTCTTTCAGTCATCTGGTTCCTCTTTGATGTGCAGAGAAACTGTTGACAGTTCTCTCCTTTCTACCTGGGCCTCATCTGACTCTTCCTTTTTCACCCATGTGAGCGACCCCGTTTCTGCAAATGGTATGTCATTCTCCCACTGAAGCTCTGACTCTTCTTTTACCTCAGCATCCCACGTCCCCGGAGGGAGCACCACGACCTCATCAGCTTCTTCCTCCATGTCATTCTCTGTATTGTTCTCTTCTTGGGGTTGGACAAAAGGCTCTTTGTAAACCCTGATGTCTATTGGCTCACTGCATGTGCCAGAAAGCAAGGCTCCCTTGGTGTGAGTCCTCAGGTGCTTGGCAAGAGCAGCCCGTTGGCTGTAGTTTTTGTTGCACTGGAGACAGGCATAAGGCTTCTCGTGAGTGTGAATCCTCTGGTGCTGGACCAGCGTGGAGCTCTGCTTGAAACCTTTGCCACATTCATCGCAGCGAAAGGGACGTTCCCCTGTATGGGTGAGATGGTGTCTCTTGAGAGCTGACATACCACTAAAGCTTTTCCCACACTCTTGGCAGCTGTACGGGGACTCACCAGTGTGAGTCCGGAGATGCTGAGTCAGCGCTGAACTCTGACTAAAGCCTTTCCCACACTCCTGGCATTTGTATGGCCTCTCGCCTGTGTGAAGTCTCCGATGAGTTGTGAGCACCGATTTCTGGCTAAAACTGCGCCCACAATCTGGACATGGGTAGGGTGTCTCTCCAGTGTGTATCCGCCGGTGCTGTGTCAAGGCAGAGCTGGCAATGAAGCTTTTTGGACAATCAGGGCACTGGTAGGGCTTTTCTCCTGTGTGTGACCTCTGATGCTGGAGAAGGGAATAGCGCTTGGTGAAAGATTTACCACAGGCTACACACAGGTTGGGTGGGCCCTCTTCAGAGTGAGTGCGGACATGTTCGTTGTAGAGAGCCCGTCGCATGAACCGCTCGCCACACTCCCCGCAGGCAAAAGGACGCTCACCAGTGTGAATGCGACGGTGTTCAGCTAACGTGGTGCTCCGGCAGAAGTTCTTCCCGCAATCATCGCAGTGGTGAAGGTTCCCACTACCTAAACGTCCTGCAGAGGCAATTTCATTTTTTCCACCACTACCATCACCCTGGTGTGAAAGAAGATGCTCTACGAGCAAGGAGATCTCTCCAAAACGCTTCCAGCACTCAGTACATTTGTATGGCTTCTCACCTGTATGGGTGTTCAGGTGCCAGACCAGGTGAGCTTTGGTGCTGTAGGTGGTCCCGCAGTATTCACATCGGAATGTTCTTATGCCATCATGAGCTCGTTGATGGCGGGTCAAGTTGCTCTTTAGCCGGAAGTTCTTGCCACACTCCTGACATCTGTAAGGCTTCTCTCCTGTGTGGATACTCTGGTGACTGGACAATGCGGACTGGACAGAGAAGCAACGGCCACAATCTGAGCACTCGTATGGCTTCTCCCCTGTGTGGGTCCGCTGGTGGGCAAACAGTTCACAGGTCTTGACAAAGCTCTTTCCACAAACACCGCAGATTACCCTGCCTACTCGCCGATGCTTTGCTACTGGGGTTGCTAAACTTCTCTGAGATTTTATTCCTGACACTACATCTTCCCTTTTGCTTGCAGGTTTTTCAGCTGTATCCATCTTTCTGTTTCCTAGTAGAAAGAAGAAATTCACATTGATTCATCTACCATCAATCCCCAACAACGCACATTCTGCTTCCACAAGTCTTTTAACCACCATAGCTCCATCTATGCTGCATGATTTGCTGCCAGGTAGTCTTTAGATATATTTTTTACCAAGTCCACATCTTCTTCCTTCCTCTCTGTTCTTTCTGCATTGGCCTTGGGTCCTGAATGTGGGCACTACTGCAGCTTAGGCCAGTGCATATGTGAAGAGCCTTTCTCAACCACAATGAATTTATTTTCCCACCTCATTGTGGTTTCCAACCTAGAAAGTGTAGGATGAGCTAGATGAGCCTCCCCATTACAGCTATTATGAAAGTTGCTGCAGGCCAGCAAGACAAGACTCCTGAACTGGCCCACTTCTGAATAAATATGGCCCTTCCACAGGGTCTCATTCTCAGCACAATATCCTTGAGTTGTATTTATGGACTAACTCAGGCATAGGCAAACTCTGGCCCTCCAGATTTTTGGGACTACAATTTCCATCATCCCTAGCTGACAGGACTAGTGGTCAGGGATGATGGGAATTGTAGTCCCAAACATCTGGAGGGCCAGAGTTTGCCTATGCCTGGACAAACTCATCATTCCCACGTCTTTTTATCCTGCTACCACCTCCTGCCCAGATTATTCCATCTTCCTAGCCACTCCAGGAAGGGATCACAACCCTTAAGCAATCCTTGATACTCCTTCACTGCTGGCAGCTGTGCTTAGGATGTGGTTTGGGAGATAAAAGTACAGCACAGGTTTCTAGTTCCCTGTTCCTGACTCTAGTGTTAAAACTAGCATCTTGAACTTGAGGATGCTCCTTTTAATAATAGTTACTGTGCAGTGTCTTAACTGTTGAGATGGTATTATTAATAATAATTAATACAGTGCTTCTTTAACTTTTTCTCAGGGCCACACTTTTAAAACAAAAATTTGCTCATGCCAATTTTTTTTATTACTTAGAAATACATTGGAAAACAAAAGGAAACAACTATCAGTGCTTGATTTATAGCATAGAACACGACGACTTTATAATATGATCATGGGGCATCCAAAACTTTTTTTAAAATGCAGCTACATAAGAACATGAATCATTCTCAAAATACAATTATAAATGAGCCTCTTACATATGTACCTTAAATATGTATACACACTCAGTGAGAAGCGTGAGCTCACTTTTGCCAGGTAATTTCATTTCTCTTAGGTCTAGTCTGAAATAAATGAACTCTCATCTCATCAACACAAAGAAGCCTTTCCCTTTTCTGAACTTTCATATTTGCCAGAGTTGAAAATCCCTGTTCACAACAGTATGCCATGGAGAAGTTCAGAAGAATAGCCAATGCTCTTGAAGAGAGGCATGGATAATGTTTCTGGTTGTATACCCCCCTCAAAATATTTTGATACTAATACTATACTATACTATATACTATACTAAACTGAAATGTTTAAACATTTCTTTGATTGTCCTTGAATCTTCTTGCCACACTTCCATCCTCTGATACCACACCAGTGTGGAGTGCTACATCCTGTGAGAACCAACAAATTAATAATATATTTTTTAAAGGGAGACAGTCAAGACCTGAGCCTACTGTATTGACAGTGATCTTACCATATCAGTTACCTACTTCTGATGTTTTAATCACTGTGTGCTACCCCTCCCACCAGACCTCACTTTCTCCATTTTACCAAGTGATCTTGGAGCTGTTCTGTAGTTCCTTGAAGCTAGAAGGCTATTCCGTGCCTCAGAGCCTGTTTTGTTATGTTCCTTCCCTCAATCCATCTCAGGAGTTAACAAGAGGTTTTCGGGTAGAAATGCCCTGTTCAAAGGAAAGAAAAATTAAGAGTAAGAGTTTATTGGGACTCAATATGACTTATTCTTAACAACTATTTCCTCATGGATAAACCAAAAGCAGTTCTCAGGGTATTTTTAGGTTCCATGTCATTAGCTTGTAATTACTGTAACATTTTCAAGCTTGCTTCCAGAATTGTGAAAGCTAGAAATTACTTTATCCTCCTTCATTTGCAAAAAAATAATAAATGAAGACCAGCTGAAAACATCATTTCCCCAACAAAACCCTGCAAAAGCATTATGTTGGCTACTAATCCCCCCCTCAATTACTATATCCCATACCGCCCAAACAGAAGGCAGTCCTGCTTAGGCTAAAGAACACAGGCATCAGATACCTGGAGGATGTACTTAACAGAAGAAAAGAACCCTTACCTGGAGAAAAGGAGTCTATTAATTCTCTTCTCAGTGTCTCTGTAGCTACATTCCTAAACTGTAAAGGTGTGCTTTTCCTTGGCTGAAAGGGGCAGGTCCTAGCAGACTCTAAAACAACAAATAAAGACCTTGTGGCTGGGAGACATGTCTAACCTGAAAGATTCTCATGACCCTCCCCGGTCTTCTGCCACAACACGAGAAAACAACTCTACTACTAGTCCAGTATTTCCCATTATCTCATACTACTAGCCTACAGCCTCTGAAAGGGCTTTCATCCTTTTTCATATCCTACACTTCCAGCAGCTAAGATGGACAGCTTACCTGGGTCAGGCTATGGCAAAGGCAAGTTATACCAGCAGCCTCCTTCCTTCACTACATACAGCAAAGCAATATCCCTTTGCAAGGCCACATTTCTCCCAGGAGAAGTGGCAGTCACCATCATCATCTAGGAAACTACCCAACCTGCAGCTATTCCAGCTTTCAGACTTCTAACGTTTTATTTCTAGCAGACAACATTTCATATCCAATAACCCCAATCTCCCAGTATCCCAGCTTTGCTAATGCCCCAAAACTCACAGGCTTGAAAAGTAAAGATGTTACAAATAATAAATAGAATAACCCCAGCTCTGGACTTCCCATCACTCACCAGGCTATGCATGTTGACAGCTCTTGCACTTTGTGATCCCATAGCTAAGCTTTGTTGTCGGCTTGGGGCAAATAGGGAGGGGGGATGCTGCACAGGAAGGTACACTTAGCACCACCTTCCCCCTTACTGCTACTTCCATGTCTCGTCTAGCATATAAAAATCTCGCTGGTATTAACCCCTAAGATTGCCCAAATTTCTATCTTTACAATGTATGTACAATACATTGATCAGCTAATAAAATATATTATACTAAATACATTATATATTTTGTTTTTATGTGAGAATTCAGCGATTTTTCTTTCATTTAAGCAATGAAAAACCTAATCCTGATTCTGCTAAATTTGCTTCTAAATTTTCTGTATCTCACTCTCCAGTCCAAGTGTAGGAAAATGTACCAAAATGGGGAAAGTTTCTTCTGGCATTTCTCTCTTTTTCAGCCTCCTTCTAAGGTGGTGGAAAAAAATGTTGACTTCTTAAATTTGGTCCATCAGGCTGTTATTGAAGCCAAAGGATGAATGGTCAGTTTTTAAACGTTAGTATCCTTAGCATAGTTTATAACCCTGCAATAATTATCAGTGCAATCCAATATTTCTTGACACAGAAGTAAGCCTCTGATAATTGAATATGGGATTTTAGCCCCAAGCCTTTACATTTCAATTTTTTTATTTAGATTTTTATCCTTTCCTTCCTCCAAGGAGCTCTTTCCCTCCATTTAACATCACAAAAACCTTGTGAGGTAGGTCAGGCCATGAGACAGTGACACACCAAAATCACCCAGTTACCTTTTATGATCAACAAGGATTTGAACTTGGTAGAGGTTGGACCCTGAACATAGATTCTGGGATGCTTTTGTGTTTTTTCCAAACTAAACTGCAGTTTTGTGGTGGTGTTTTTAATTCATTGAACTGCATGCTTTAACACACAATGTTTCCCAGCAGCCACTGAAAGCAGAAAGGCCTCCTCCCAAGAATTGCCTAGATTTTCCATTCTAAAGGGTTAAATTCACAGAAATAGCCTGGGCACCTTTGTTGGCATAGTAATAAAGCTAGAAGCAAGGAAAGGAACAATTAGGATGAGAGAGCTTATTTGTACGTGGCATTGCATTTGAAGAATTGGAAAAGGCTGCTCAAAACACAGTTGCCAGGGTACCCCTTGTGTTGCAGGGTTTATATTTCATTTGTGTTGAAAAAAATATCACTGATTCATGGTCTGTTTCTGAGTCCAGTTAAAAGCATTGGTACTTACCTTTAAAGCCCTACATGGCTCAGTAGGCAAGATACCTGTTAGACTATCTTCACCTGGATCAGTCCGCAAATAGACTGAGGCTGTCATCTGACCTTCTCTACTGGGTTTACCCCTGGTCCAACATAAAATATGTCATGGCTAGGGAGAGTGCCTGTTTGGTGGTGGCACAGTCATTGAAACCCCTTCATCTGGAAAGCTTACCTAGCACCTCTGTTGTTTATCAGTTCAGCACCAGGCAAATAAATACTTTTTTCTTGTCCCGAACAAACAACAATCCAAGTATTTTAAGCCATGGTGAAATTTCTTACCCATTCTTCCTCTCTTGATTATTTTTTATGTGTTATCAATTACTGGTTTTTTAGATCTGGCTGAAATACTTTTTCCAAGCCATCCCAAGAACATTATTTACTGAAGACTACAGGTTAGAAATGTAACCAACCAACCCCACCCCCACAACAAATAAATAAATAAGTTGTGTTCCTAAGTCACTCCATCACAATGCCTTTGTCTGCCATGTGTGTCAGCAATAATCTTAGGGGGGAAATAAAAGAAGTATGTTTTTCCACTCTTCATATTACAGGACTGAAAGACTCTTAGGGTGCTGACATTTCCTTTAAAGCATGAAAACCAATCGGGTTCTAGCCCTCATGGCAGCAAAAAGAAATTTGGAAGACGTGGGATCAGTGCCTGGTGGGATCAGAAACTAGATTTGGGCTTGATCAGAACTTTCACTGGTCATAGGCTAGGACTTCAGTACTAATAGATGCTTACATGTAGCTTGTGGGTTTGGGGAAAGCAGAATAAATAATTTTACACAGCTCTATGCGATTTGGAAAAGGCCATAGTTCAGTGGTTGAGCACATGCTTGGCATGCAGAAGATCCCAGATTCAATCCAACATCTTCAGGTAGGGCTGGCAGACATCAATCAAACTATGGAAAACCGCTACCAATATCATCAATACTGAGCAAGCTATGAGACAATTTCCTACGTTGCTTAGGCTCTAACCCTACACTCACTTGGGAGAAAACACCATTGAAATGAATGGGGTTTGCTTCTAAGATTGATAAAAGATTACACTTTCATTTGATGTGATTTATTTCTGGTTACTTTAGTGTGTGTGTTTTTTTGGGAGGGAAAGTTTTTACTTTTAGTACAGAACATATACAGCCCAGACCCAAAGTCCCTAGACCATGGAAGATGGTAATATGATATTACTCACTGTTAAGAGATTGATTAAGGCAGTGGTGTGTATGTTTTCCTGGGATACTGCCCTCTCCTACAAAAGCTGAATATTAGCCTGAATATTGTCAATACACTATTAATGGCCAAGCAGAAATTTCATATGCACAAATGAAGTTCACTGTGAACACTTGCTTTGTCAGTCTGAGGCTGCTTGAAGTACGTGGCTTGCCTTGCTCTGTAGGCTTCTATGTTTCAAGAGACAGGTGTGGAAAAAGTGTCCTCCTAACCTTTCCTAATCAGGAGTGACCAGGTCTATTTAGGGACCAAATTTTGGTTTAGATGTTCTACAAATGCTAGTAAGAGTCTATGAAGTCCAAGGATCTTAAACATATATATGACATATACGTTTTTCCACATATACACCCTCTGCCTTAGGAAAACAAAAAACAGAAGACCATCTTCTATGCATCCATTCCCACAATGGATACATCCTCATTCCTTCAAGTGTCTCTTTTCCTGCCAGAAGGGGGAACTAGTGACACAAATCCAAAGCTTTTGTGTCTACTGTATTGCTACTTGCACCAGTGTTAATGATTTCCTTTCTTCAATCAGAGCCTTGACTGCTGACCTGATATTATTTTCCTTAACTTTATTACATAGGGATGAGAAAATCTATTCAAGCTCTTGGTGCATCCTGGAATTGATTCTTTTGAATAGTAGCATTTTAAAAGAGAAGACAACAAGTGATTTTCTATTTTCTTTTTTGCAAGGCAGAGGCGAGGAGAGAACAAAAGTACTGGGTGAGAAAGCTAGAGGGAATACAGAAGATGGAGGGTAAGTCTAATGAGCTCACATCCTGCTTGTGGGCTTCCCATAGGCAAGGGCGAACAAGATGCTGGACTTGATAAGTCACAGGCCTGTTCCAGCAAGCCTTGTATGTTCTTAGTATCTTCCTAATGCTATCCTGTGGCACTATAGCAGGAATGGGTAACTTTTGACCCCCCAGTTGTTAAGACTCCAGTTCCCACCATCCCCAATCAATACAGCTGGCGGTCAGGGATGATGGGAGCTGTTGTCCAGTGTCATCTGGAGGGCCAAAGGTTACCCATCCCTGCACTAGAAACCCATTCTGTCCTAGAAATCAAGATTGCCACCACAAACAAACACGCGTGCACATGCACATACTCTGCAATATTATTTACTCCTTTCCTTCACAGCAAAAGCAGGAACAGATCTTTGGAGGTGAACATAGTATTCTATGGAAGCAGATCCAATCTTAGTTCAATACAAGCATTTCCCCAAACCCATTAAAAAAATGGAGATCAGAATACACTTCTCCATTCTGGTCCATTATTGATTTAGTCACAGATAAATCTCTCTCCTGTGCTTGGGCTTTGCTTTCTGATCCAGCCAGAGATCCTGGAGGGTTACGGAAGATTTGCTGTTCAGCTACACCACAGTCTGGCTACGTCCAACAGCTGGTGCCACACTCAGTACAAGTATAGGGTCCCTCACCCAGCACGGAGTCTTCTTGAAGGCCAGACTCCAGGCGGAAACCTTTACCACACTGGCTGCAGATGAGAAGCCGGCTGCCCTCTTCCCCATCGGTATCATTGTTGCCATTGGAGATGCTGCTATTGGCACACAGGGCATTGTGACCGGACCCATGAGGGCTGCCACCGTCAGTGCTGCTGGCATTTTCATAGAGGAGGCTGATGTGATGGGCACTAATGCTGGCGTCACTGCCAGCTGTATTGACGCTGCCAAGGATGTCATATGCCAGGCTAGCACCGCGGGCGTTGGCATGAGTGCGGCGGTGGCGAATGATGTGGGAGCTAAGCCGAAAGCTCTTCCCGCACTCGGTGCAAACATATGGTTTCTCTCCTGTGTGCACCCGCCAGTGGTCCACTAGGTTGGAGTGGTGGGTGAACCTCTTGCCACACTCAGCACAGCCGTAAGGCTTCTCACCTGTGTGGGTGCGCCGGTGGTTGGCCAGAGTGGAGCTGCCAGAAAAGCGTTTGCCACATTCCTGGCACTGGTATGGCTTCTCCCCTGTGTGGGTCCTCTGGTGGCGAGTAAGGCAGGAACTCCCGGTAAAGCGTTTGCCACACACATTGCACTGATAAGGTGTGACTCCTGTGTGGCTGCGGCGGTGCAGGTTGTAGTTGGAGCTCTGGGAGAAGGCCTTGCCACACAGCTCACACCGATAGGGCCGCTCTCCTGTGTGAAAACGGCGGTGCTGGAGGAGGTTTGAGCTGGCCGTGAAGGCCTTGCCACAGTCTCCGCAGACGTAGGGACGCTCCCCAGTGTGTGTCCGCTGGTGCTTGGTGAGGGCTGAGCTCTGGTTGAAGCTGCGGCCACAGTCATTGCAGTGGTAAGGCTTCTCACCCGTGTGGATGATCTGGTGCTTGGCCAAGTTTGAGCGACGGCTAAAACTCTTGCCACAAACACTACAGGTATTGGGGTGTGAGGAGGAGGAGGGCACCTACAGGAATGGAAGAAATGATTAGGACAGCTTAGCCTGCTGTAAAAAAAAGGCACTCTGGGAACAGATATTAGGGGTGCTAGCCTGGAAACTGCCACATAAACAAGTCATTATTTTTTAAAGAAGAAGTCCATCTTTGTACAGTGGTGCCTTGCAAGACGAAAAGAATCCGTTCCGCGATTCTCTTCGTCTAGCGGTTTTTTCATCTTGCGAAGCAAGCCCATTGACAGCTTAGCGGATTAGCGCTACAGCGGTCTAGCGGCTTTTCGCGATCAGCTGTTAAGCGGGTTATCAGCGGAACAGCTGATAGGCAGCTTAGCGGCTTAGGAAAAGGGGGGAAAAGCGGGAAAAAACCCGCGGGGACACGCAAGATTTTTTCGTCTTGCGAAGCAACCCCATAGGGAAATTCGTTTTGCGAAGCGCCTCCAAAACGGAAAGCCCTTTCGTCTAGCGGGTTTTCCGTCTTGCGAGGCGTTCGTCTTGCGGGGCACCACTGTACTGTATCATAGTTTTACAAATCATCTTTTGATAAGAGCAGGAACTAAAGTATATTAAGAGTTGGTCAAAACCAGAGGTCAAAGTTAATATATGCTTGGCAAGCCTCTCTTTTGGCTTAACAGGCTGCCAATGATATAACCTGACCTACTTGTAAAGGGAGTATATATTGTGTGCAAGTGAACTGGGGATGGACAGGAGATTAGACAAGGCTAAAGAGGGTCCCTTGGGAAAATTGAGGGCACAAGGAGAAGGGGACAACAGAGGATGAGATGGTTGGACAGTGTTCTCGAAGCTACCAGCATGAGTTTGACCAAACTGCCGGAGGAAGTGGAAGACAGGAGTGCCTGGCGTGCTCTGGTCCATGGGGTCACGAAGAGTCAGACACGACTAAATGATTAAACAACAACAACAAAGAGGGTCCCTACTAGTGGTGGCCCCAATGCTACAGCAACGTGATAAGAAAAGATGCATGTGGCCAAATTTTCCCTTGCTGGTTCTCTGGCCATATTGTTAAGGCTTCATCTTGATGCCAAGCCTTTTTTGTGAATCTTGGATTCAGCATGTAGACTTTTTTTTTTTACTATTCCTTCATTGCACTCTTGAGTTTCAGTGACTTACAAGGGCCTAACATTAGTAAGATGTTGTCCTGTACAATGCCAGAAGAATTGCCAAATACCACTTCTTTCATCATCGTCCCCCCTGCCATACAGCTGCCAAGACTCACCAAAAAAAGGCTAACATCAGGATGCAGCCTTGGCAGTCTGGCCCCATCAGTGCCATACATTTAAAGCAGTATCGTACCACTTTAAACAGGCATGGCTTCTGCCAAAGAATCCTGAAAGTTAAGGGTGTCCAGAGTTGTTAGGAGACCCATGTTCCCATCATACAGCTACAATTCCTATATTTCCTTGGGAAGAGGGAATGGCTCTGAGATTTATAGCTTTGTGAGGGAACAAGGGTCTCCTAGGAACTCTCAGCACTCATAGCAAACTCCAGTTCCCAGGATTCTTTGAGGGAAACCATGACTGTTTAAAGTGGTACAATACTGCTTTAAATGTATAGTGCAGATCAGGCCTCTGACAGGAGAAATCCAACATTCCCAAAGATCATGGAAACAGTACAACAGAACCACCTCACCACCCACCACCACTTACCTCAAGTCTCTCCTCCAAGCTCTCCTGACATTCCCTCGACTATGCTACCCCCAGTACTCACCAAAATCCCATCTATCGGGATGGTGGCTTTTTGCATCTCGAATTCTTGAGCCTTCTGCTCCTCCACCTCAGCCTTCATCTCTTCCTCAGGTAACAAGTCCTGCAAGGCAGTAGAACTAAGCTGGAGCAAGTTTGGCCAAGACAATGATTTCACTAGCCGTTGCAAACGTGGTGCCCTCCACATGTTTTTGACTACAATTCCAAACCAGCTGTGCTGGCTAGGGCTGATGGGAGCTGTAGTCTAAAACATTTGAGGGTCCAGTGTTTCAAAGGCTGAGTTAAGCAATCCTTTCTTTTCCTGAAAGCTGGTCCTTCTTTCCCCTCACCCAAATAAAACATCTCACCTTCCCATCTTCATCTCCACTCACTGATTTCCCACCTGCGGAAACCCTCCTTACCTCCACTTCAAATTCCAGATTCTCTTCCTCATCTTTTTCCTTCTTCACTCTTCTTCTAATTATCAGTTCTTTCTCACTGCCATCCTCCATTATTAACCTATTCTGGGAGAATGAACACTCTGGCTAGAAAAGGCAAAAACAGCAAGAAGTGAGCATTTTTACACATATCTTATCCCTCTAGAGTTGAATAGTTCTCAAATGCTGAGACAGGCCAAGATGGCCTTAAGCCCACCTGAACCAGAGGTTACCAGCCTTTTGGAGGCAGTGAGCACATTTGGAATACTGCGGAAGTACCATTGGTGCCCGTCACAAAATGGCTGTTATGGGGTTGTGCAGAAGAGGATGAACAAATGCAAAGAGGTACTGAGCAGGAAGATCAAACAGTCTCATACACTGGATTTTGAGGGGATATTTACTGAGACCTTTTGTGGGCGCCATAGGAGGTACTGTGGGTACACTGGCAGCTGCTGCTCTGGTGACCCCTGCACTAAACCAAGTACATCTCATCAACCATATAGTGTGACCTATATGTTCCTGGACAGCCCTACTGTGTTTTACTGTCCCAGGAGGTCACCAAGGGTCATCACAGACGGCTAACAAATCAAATGTTGTGCATGCCTAAGGCTAAGGAGGTAAAAAATGGTTGCCAGGGGAGACACCACTTTGTCAATTTCTCCTCACAGGATGTGTTCTTTGCAGCCAACTCAAAAAGCCATTTTTAAAGTATCAAAATCACCACCGGTGCTGACTTTTGCCAAAGGAAAGCAACTTATAGAAGAATACTGAAAATGATAACCATATATGTAGCACTCAGCATGCAGAACGTGTGGGTTTTCTTGCTTATAGGTAGGCCGCTGAGCTTCCTGTGTGGCAGTTTTCTCACACTATCTACTGTACTAGCAAAAAGCAACAATGTGAGTACGTGGCCCATTCCATAGTGTGCCACAACTGCTCTTTGTTCCTTTCCATCTCTCCAATTCTTAGTTTCTTAATAAGAGGGAAGAACAAAATAATTCAGATTTTGCCTTTAAAAGTTGAAGAACAATACTCTTGCAGGCAATATCTTGTTTTTATCTATAATAAAGAATATGGTTGCCAACTAACCAGCAAATGGATTCTCTCATACATTTAGCAGTGGCTCATTCTTCAGAAATTAGCAGACAACACTTTCCATGGGATATAGATATAGATAAAAATCACTGTGATGAAAAGTTGGAGCAGAGTGCTTGTATCTGGCAAAACTGTTTAGCATCCATTTCTGTCATGTTCCAAGACTTGGATACCCAAATGGTTTCCACCTACCAGGTGTAGAGATGACTCACATTCACGCCTCTAAAATTCCCCTTTCCAAGTTGTGGACAAAATATAACCAGGCCAATCACTTCAGTGTACATGCTGGTGCGTCATGTTCCAGAGTACATAAGAAAATCTTATCCAGTGTGCTATGGCAACTCCTGATTGATGGATTCTCTTCTCTCTGCCAACCCCATTATCTTGTATAGTAGCAAAGATGGCGCTGAACTGAAATTTGTCACCTATCCGTCATGTTTATCATCCTCCTTGGGATAACTATGCAGTTTGTAAGTAAGTTATGCAACCTCCTTTTAAGACTGTTTTCTGCAAGTTATTTATGCCACATTCACACCATACATTTAAAGTGGTACCATGCCACTTTAAATAGCCATGGTTTTCCCCCAAAGAATCCTGGGAGCTGTAGTTTGCTAATGGTGCTGACAGTTGTTAGAAAAACACTATTCCCTACAGAGTTACAATGCCTGGAGTGCTTTATCAATCTGTATTCAGTTCTAATATCAACTGAAGGACAGTGGCGGCAGCAATCTTTAAGTAAGGAGATGAATGACATATTTTCTCCATAAAAATCCAAATCAAGCTGCTTTTTATAAAGGCTGGTTGGAAGGCTGGCAATGCTAATGAAGAATATTATACGTTAGAAAGGGGTGCGGATGTAAACAGGAGCACTTTATACAGTGTATCCTTTTCTGCTATACAGTGGTACCTTGGGTTACAAACACCTCGAGTTACAAACACTTCGGGTTACAGACTCCGCTAACCTGAAAGTAGTACCTTGGGTTAAGAACTTTATCTCAGGATGAGAACAGAAATTGTGCACTGGTGGCACGCCGGCAGTGGGAGGCCCCATTAACTAAAGTGGTACCTCAGGTTAAGAACAGTTTCAGGTTAAGAACAGACCTCTGGAACGAATTAAGTTCATAACCAGAGGTACCACTGCATAGATGTAGCCCTGAGATCTAGTCATTGGTTTGCTTTCATTACTCACCATGTTGTCACCCACTGGGATCTCAAGCATCTTCACCACAAGTGGAGGCTCTTCCTCCTTCACTGTTGCCACCTTTTCTGTTTTGCATGAAGTGGCAAGCCATGTCCATTTCCTTGGAGAAGGTGGCAGAGGCTGAAAGAAGAGGTAAAGTAGCTGGGAGCGGATTTTACATTATTTTTATTCATTAGATTTCTATTCCATATTTTTTCCAAGGAACTCAAGGCAGTATAAGCTGTTCTAGCCCTCACCCACATTATCCTCACAACAACTCTGTGAGACAGGCTAGCTTGAGAGAGAATGTGTGTGAGAGAATGAAATATGATTAGTCCAAGGTCATGGATCAGCATCAAGCTTGAATATCTGATTCTGCTCTCCCCACCCCTTAACCCAACACTATAACCCTACACTATATTGTTTTTCTATGATGTCAGGCACAACCAACCCTGTGTAATCTGGACAGGGCAGAACACAAGGAGCCAGCACAGCATAGTGGTCAGAATGCTACACTAGGATCAGGGAAGCCTGGGCTCCAATTCTCACATGGCCATGAAACTTGCTGGGTGCTCTTAGGCTGTCACTACCCCTTGGCCTAACAGACCTTACAGGGATGTTTGAGGATAAAATGGGGAGGGGGCAAAGGGAACGTGTTCATCACCCTGAGCTCCTTGTAGAAGGATGGGATAGAAAGGCAATCAATAAACACTCCCTGCAAACCAAGAAGTCCTGGTCCATCCCATTGGATCTCAGAATCCTGGTTTCTCCAACCTATTCCCTCAAATCTGTGTGTGGCTCAGTCTTTTATGGGGCCTTTTCTGTCCCAGAATTATTTAGTAGGAAGCAAATTACACCCAGGACAGACACACAAACCTCTAGTCCTGATTTTTCCTTCCTTCCACCTCACCACCCTCCTTCCGAACAAAAAAACCTCATAGGTCTGTCCCTGGAGATCTTGTATAGCCACACCTTGCTCTCCTGTGCCCTTTCCCTTTCCTTCTTTACTCTAGTCAGCAGCCCTTTCCGCCGTATCTCTGAGGATCCCCGAGATGTTCCCGCATTCTTCATCAATGGCCTGTCTGCATCCAATTTCTGAAGGTACAGAATGGGAAAACAAATACACACACAAACAAACAAATCCACTAGGTGACCAAATTAGCTCCTTACATATTTTAGGCACCAGATCTTCCCATGGTGCTGTTCACCCAGCATGAGATTGCTTTAGTCATATCAGTCTGAGCAGAAAAGGACATGATGGTTTGGTCTGTTTTCCACAAAGGAGTCTTTCTTTTAAACTCAGAGGAATCTGGGGAAACATTCAGTGTCAAAGCGCCTCTGTTACTTACCACACCCCCATCTTTGACCTTGGTTGGTGTGCCAGATATAGGGATCCCCTCTGACTTCTCTTCTTTCATGTCCTCCTTGTCCTCATCCATCATTAATTTAAGTGCGGAAGTGAGTGGCTTTTGAGGGAGAAACAAAGGTAAGTGACCAAGGCTCTCCACCCTAGGCATAGTTATTAGAAAATTAAGTCCTCTTTAAACAACTCTTATTTGTAGACCATCAAATCCCCTACAAGTCAGTGCAGCTTTTTTTGACTCACAACTACCCTGTGAGGCCACCACCTAGCTTAGATTCAGGAGATATTTAGATCTATTTTCCTATTGCCCCCAATGAACAAGGATGAATCCACTTGGTTTGAATATAGTATGGGAAGATGGATGAGGCCATGGTATGACTCAAGTCTGCCTGGAAATCCTGTCACAAATCCCTGATGCAAAGTGCTGTCTTCATAGAGAACGACTGGCTTATTTATGCACCCTTCACATGCTCAGAAGCACACAGCACTACTAATGTGTAGGTATCACAACTGCACAGGGATCCCTGGGCAGGCCATGGCCCCAAATAAGCTCCACCCTTCCCCGCAACCCCCAGGGGTCTTGAGCTCTTAAAACTTACCTCTTTTGTCTCTCAGTCTTGGCGTGTGTCTGCTCGCTAATATCACTAGCTCCGTAAGTTTAGCCTAATTACGTCTTAGAAATCCAAGGCGGGGGGGGGGGGTTGTGCTGTGATGCACACCTCTCTCTATTACAAGCAACAGCTGCTTCTGGCAACCCACGTGGTAGACACCCTTTTTCTCCGCCACGTCCCTATGGAGAGTTAGGGTAGCTGGCAGCAGGATAAGGGGCTGGGTAGGGAAGGGGAGACGGATTCCCCACCCGGGGCCAGTACCAAGTCCGGGAAGGAAGTTGAGCCAAGGAGTGACTGCTTCCTGCGACCCAGGCTGGCTCCCCTCCCCTCTCACCCGGGCCTCTCTGGAGCAGGGGAGGAATGGTGGGGCTGCCGAGGGTGATGATGAAGATGATGATGATGCGGAGGAGGGCGCAGAGGTGGCTAGCACAGCCGATCAACGGGATCCGGAGGCTCCTCGCCCTTTGGCAAGCGCCTCGAGATGGGCGGCGGAATCGGCTCCGGCTGCGCTTTTGCGCCTCTTCCCTCCCCGAGAAGAGACCCTGCTGAGTGGGGAGGGGGAGCGCCGAGGGCGGGGGGGGGACGGGGAGAATTTTAGACGTCGAGAGGAGGGTGGCGGAGGGGCGGTGCGCCTCGCAGATTCGCCAACGTTGCCTTGCCTCGTTCTCGCTCATTGGTGGAGAGGTCTGCAAGACAGGGAGAGTGGCAACTGCAGCAGCGGCGCTTTTCCTGCCAGACGCGAGCAGGGGGTGGACCCAGGAGTCCTCCCTCCCTCCCTTCTCCAGCCCCGCAAGCGACGAGTATTCGGGTTTTGAAATAGGGGCGGGGGCGAGGAGGAAGAGAGAGCACTCGGAGCCTCTGATCCGGAGCTTCTACTAGAGGCCACCCCGGAGGAACGTGTTTCCTCGTGGCAAGCGAGCTCTTGCAGAAACCGCGCCGTGGAATAGGGACGGGGGGAGGCGGGGAGAGAATGCTGCTTCCGAGAATGTGCAGAGTAACGATCGCCTCTTGCCCGTTCGAATCCGGAAGGTGCACCGTTAACACGGGACTAGTGCATGGGAACATGCCTGGGAGCAAAGGTCGGCCCAAGACATTTCGCTGCCTGAGGGCAAGGACAGCGGGACACTCCACTGCCCGGAGGGAGATCAGCAGGGTAGTCACAAAGGGGCTTGGGGGCAAGGTGCATGACACACAGGCCTCTTCAACAACAGAAATTGTGTGTATTCCCCCTAATAATAATCCAATAATAATAATAATAATAATAATAATAGATAATAGGCTGAAGTAAGAGGTAAAATAGCACCTGCTGGATTTCTACCTGTTGTGCTGCTGTTAAAATGGCACAAAAGCCTGTCATCAGAAAAGGGGTAGGCGGCAACTACCCTGTGTGATAGAAGCTGGAACTCTTAACAGGAGAGGATACAGGAATGGCTGGACCCGTAGATGATTCTCCCCACCCCCCTGCCCATTTTATCCTTCACCAGCCCTATGAGCTGTTGGAATAGGGCTGAGTGACTGACTCAGGCTAACCCAGTCAGCTTCATATGCAGGTGGGGATCTGAACTAGAACTATAGTGAACACACTAGACCAGGGTGGGCAACTTCCATGAGTCTGAGGACTGACAGCATTACTTCATGGGCAACCTTGTAGGGGCGACATATCAATGATGGGCAGGGCCAGAGGCAAAAAGGAGGCAAGGCAAGAGTTAAAATGGGGAGAGCAACAGATGTGATATTTGTAGTGTTAGGAGTTTGGTAGGAGAGGGGGTGGTCTGAATGCTTGGACCTCCTTCTAATGCCTGGACCCAGCATGGAATAGCCAGGCCAGCCTGGTGGTGGTGGGCTAAAGATTGTGGGCCTCCCTCCTTCAACTGTCTGTTCCTTAGAAATACAAAAGGCTAGAGTTGAGAGTTGAGGGATATGAGCTAGAAGCTGCAGGCAAAACTACAGGCTGCAAGGGCAGAGAGAGCGAGAGCCAGGCCTGATTTATGCTGGAATCCAACGCTGTGGGCTGTGGGAGAAGCAGGACCTCCTTGGGGCTTAATGCTGTGTACCCCTCCATTGTAGGCTCAGGTCGTATATACTGTATGTGTAAATAAACCATATGTCATAAAGACACCACAGTCCCCACTGTGCCTCATTCCCGAAGGAAATGCCTGGAACCCCTGGAATTTCACACTGCCCAGAGATTGGGGTGGCATGCACATCCTCAAAGGCACTTTTATTTTCAGGACCATGGAATAAGCAGATTTAGCTTTCGTTAAAATAAATTAGGAAAAAAAATTAGCAAGCCATATATAGTGAAAGAGGGTACAAATGTAACAGAACAAATTCACTGATGGGAAAAGAAAAGAAAATGCTGCAGTGATTGTGTGTATGGCCAGGATATGGTATAATGCAAGACAAGTTCAGACTAATCAAGCAAATGTTTCTACTACTCTAATCTAAAAAACCACCATGAAGTGATGAAACCCAAGTTACTTTCTTGCAGTTTTCTGTAGATTGTATGAAATATGATCAGGCGGTACACTCTCACTATCTTTTAGAACAGAGTTAAGTACCAGCAGTCATTAGTAATGATCACTATATGGGAAAGAAAAAGATCACCTGCTGGCACTATTTCCTTTTCCGTATTCTTTCTTTTATTTAAATTATAAAGGTTTTCTAACAAGCAGCTCTCCTGTGCCCACTTACCTGGTGGAACTTACTTCTGAATGGAAGAAGCAAGTTCCACCAAGGTGGATTTTGGTAATCTTTGTAATATGGCCACCTGTGTGAGGCCAAAATTTGGTACCCCCAAAGGATTCTTCTCAATTATGGATATTCTCAATTTTCTTCCCCTTGGCTTGGCACCCTGTGTGGGAACTGCCTGGACCACCCTAAATCTGGCACTCATTCCACTGAACATAGTGGAATTTACATTTGGGGTGCACAGAACAATTAACAAGAATATTATAATTTGTAACAAAATTAATTTATTTCCTCTCAGTGTCAATAGTAAGGTTTTTCATAGATACATGTGTTTTCCTCATGATTTCTGCAGCAAGAACCTTTTATTGACAAATCACCTCATATAAAAATAAGCCCCTATGCCACTTGTGTGCTACAATCATACCCATGTCTACTCAGAAGTAAGTCCCATTTAATTCAGTGGGGCTTAGCCCCAAGTAAGTGGGCATAAACTTGCAGCCTTGGACTTTTCCTCACCATTTTGGATTCTAACACACAATAGCTTCAAATTTGCCTTGGGACATCTGCAGCCCCTTGGACTTGCACTTCAGGCCTTCTCCCCAGCCAAGTGGATTCTAGTGAGTCCCACACCCCAGTAACAAGTTCCACTGCCACTCAGGAAGCGTCAGGAGATTTCTTAGCCTGGTGGATTGTCTCGTGTTGGTTACGGTTAGAGTTCTGACTGAAGCCCTTTCCGCACAGCCGACACTTGTAGGGCCTCTCTCCCGTGTGGATTCGCTGGTGCTCAATGAGGACCGAGCTGCGCGTAAAACTCTTGCCACATTTCACACACGTGTAGGGCTTTTCTCCTGTGTGGGTAATGTGGTGCCGGATGAAATCCGTGCTACGTGCAAAGCATTTCCCGCACTCAGGGCACCTGTAGGGCTTCTCCATCCTATGGCTTTTCTGATACTTCATCACCATCTTTGAGCTCCATGAGGAACTTCCCCCTGGAGACTGAGATCCGAGTCCAGCTTTTGCACCTTCATCAATTCTTTTCAGGCTTTTAGGCCCACGCCTCTGAACCTCTGTCCTTTGCCAAGTTGATCCCCAGTGTATTGGGTCGCTCCTTTTCTCCTTCCCATGAGTCCTCTCATGCTGCTTACAGTTGGAGCTCTGGCTAAATCCTTGCCCGCAGTGGCTGCATTTGTATGGCTTCTCACCTGTATGGATTCTCTGGTGCTCCAGGAGGATTGAACTCCGACTGAAGCTCTTCCCACAGTCCAGGCACAGATAAGGCCTTTCTCCCGTGTGGGTCCTCTGGTGCCTCAAGAGGTCTGTGCTCCTGCGGTAATTTTTCCCGCAGTCGGGGCATTTGTAGGATTTTGTTTTGCCACACAAGGCCCGCATAGGGTCCTTCAAGTCCCCTTTACAAAAAGTCGGCTGGTCTTTCGCAGAGCCTCCTTTCTGTAGCACCTTATTTCCACTCCCGCTGGAGCTACTTGAGGAAATGGGACGTGGCTGTGCACCATCTTCCTGTGGGTTTTCCACTTTGTTCTTGCTCTCTGCAGGGAGAGACAGAATCCAGGCAGAATTTGCTCCATCTGCTGCAGACAGAAAAGAGGCTTGATCACCAAATTAAGCACTTGGTTTTGAAACAGAACCTAATCCACACACATTCAGTGGATGGATGGGGGGGGCAGGTGTCAACCCGGGCACAATTTTGCACCCACTCTCCACCATGGTTCTGCTTGTGCACAGACTCTTTTCTGACTCTTAGGTAGTGTGAGAGGCAGAATAAGGCAGGAATGGAGAAGCTTTTGGCCCACCAGATGCTATTGAACCACAACATCCACTATCCTTGACCATTGGCCATGTTGGCTGGGCTGATTGGAGTCCAATAACATCTGGTGGGCCACAGGTTTCCCCATCCCTGGGTTAAGTGTTGCAATATGAGGAATCCCTCTGAAAAACATCTTGGGAAGAGAAAAAATTTCACAGGAAGACGCTGTGATATCTACCACAAGAACCAAGAAGCCCCTGGGTTAAGAAATATGTAGGCTGCATCCATATGAAGAGAGAAACAGTGTTAAGGGTTTTTGTGGGGTTTGCAGTACGTAGTCTCCTAACCATGCCTACCCAGAATTAAGGCCTATGGAATTCAGTGGTGCTTACTTTCGGGTAAATGGGGTTAGGCTTGCAGTGTTAATCAGGAAACCTACTACTGCAGTTTCATCTATCCCTTGCACGCACACAAACAAACACGAGTCCATTTCCCACTTTCTAACACATAGGCAGACATTTCAAGATCCATACTTTAGATCTGGCTAAAAATGCTATTCTAGGGCAGATCCCTGGGTCAAGTTTAGCCCCGGTTTCCGAGCAAACCCTCCGTCCGTACCCCCCACATGCTCACCTGGTGTTAGCACCAGGGCACTTCCAGCAGGGACGGGCAGGAGGAGGTACACGGAGCCGTCAGCAGGGCCTCCGAGCCACCGAGGGGGGCTGCGGGCAGGAACAGCCGAGGGAGCCCCTGCCGCCATAGCAGGGGCAGCAAGCGGGCCGAGGGCGGCGCGAGGGGCAGCCTGGACGAGCGCCGCGCTTGCCGCGCACTTTCCCACTTAGCCGACGCAGCGCAAGGCGCGGTGAGGAAGAGGGCTGGATCTGCGCGGCATCCTGGGAGGCGTAGTTTCCCCAAGCGGGTGACATTTAAAAGAAAAGGTCTGGGTAGAAAAAAAACCCATTGATCCTGAGGGCAGAGGACGGGCGAATCCGAGAGATGAAGGAGGGCGGAGGCAGCTATCATTTAGAACCGGTGAAGCGGTGTAGCCAACGCGGTGCGCGCCAGAGGCTGATAGACTCCAACTCCCATCAGCTTCAGCCATCATAGCCAATGGCAAGGGATGATGGGAATTGCAGTCCAACAACGTCTGGGAAGGGGTCACATGGGGGAAATGAATGGTACCTTCATTCGGGCAAGGCTTCGTCCAAGAAAAGGGCAAGTGTAGGGCAGAGATTTGCTAAGGGATATCATTACTTATTTAGTTATGAAATTTGTATACCGCCCTTCATCCTTTAATCTCAGGGTGGTTCAAAACATAAAAATGGAAGATGAAGCACAAAATGTTTTACAAAAACGACAAGAAGACCACAAACTAATAACTCCCCTTACCCCCACCCCACAAACACATTTAAAATGGTGTAGGATGTTAATCAGCGCAAGGCCTGGTTGCCTGGCACCTAAAGGTGTATATAATGAAGGTGCCATTCGAACCACCTTGGGGAGGGCACTCCACAAACACAGAGCCACTGTAGAAAGGGCCCATTCTCATATTACTACCTTCTTCTGGAGGAGGCACACGCAGAAGGGCCTTGGAGGATGATTGCAGGGTGAGAGCCAGTCCTTGAGGTATTGTGGTCAGGAGCCTTTTAAGGCTTTATAGGTCAAAACCAGTACTTTGAATGGGGCCTGGAAACTGCTTCTGTTGGAAGCAGTTTCTGTCTGTGCCGAAACCTGGCTGAAACCCAGGTTGAAATGGATCTAGAAAATCAGTTTCCTCCCCCTGAGTTTTCTAACCCAAGCTAAGCTGGCAACCCCTACCATGTCTACTCAGAAATAGGTCTAGGTGAATTCCATGTGGTAAATGGGGATAAGGAGTGCACCTTTACTCATCACTACTACTTTCAGAGAGAGATGAGGGGGAATATGCACAGATCCTGGTCGGTCTGATTCCTTGGCAAAGATCATTCTGTCTTGGAGGCCTCCTTTGACGCAGAAGCCTGCTTCTGAGCAGACATGCCTAGGAGTGTGGAGGGAATGAACTGGCAAGATGGTGAGCACTTCATACCTCAACATTTTTTTAAAAATATGAACACAAATGTTTTTCCTCCGGGCGAATATTCCTCTTCTCCTAGGCCTTTGGCTAATTAAGCAATATATAGCCCTTTAAACTGTGTGTGTTGGAGGCAGTATTATTTTGTTTGTTACTATGTTATGTATTTTTGTGTTTTTATGTTGTGTAGCAGGAACCCCCCACCCCAATCATTCTGCTTGTACAAACTTCACATACACACACACACACTCACACACTACATACGCCACATCTCTGTTATAAATTCATAGAAAATCAACCATACGTCGGATTTGCACTGTTCCATTTTTATTTTACTCCATATGACAAGAACTAACAAAGGGGGGTGACTTATTCCTGGTCAGCCATAATCCCTCCACCATCTCAGCACATCCCAGCACATCTGCAGGAGCCCTGCCCAGATGATCCCAGACAGAAGACAATCAAAATCACAAAGAACTTGCATATGGGAGTGGATTCAGCATGGACTGAAACAAAGGACAATGATCAGATCTTCCCTCAGGGGGCAGGAAACTGCAAACTCCCCTTTGTCTCCTGGAAGTGACTCATGGGGAGGGGGGAAAGGAGGAACGAGCCAGGTGACAAGATACTCAGGTTGCCACCAACTCCTCCCTCAACCCCTCCTTTCTGTAATGTATGCATGATGTTTCTGGGGGTGGGCTTGACCTAGAGGAGGGGAATTTCAAAAGTTTTTATAAGACCTTGCACACTATTTTTCTGGGTCTTTCCTCTCACCTGCGAGTGAGGGGAGCACCCTGTCGCGACAGTCTTTCTTCAATAAAGACCAGGCCTACAGGCTGCTGATTTGCTTCAATTTGCTCTGGTTGGTGTTTTATTTTTGTCCAAGGGAGCCCTCAGATTTTTCCTGTAACAGTTGTAAACCACCATGTGATCCTCGGATGAAGGGTGGTATAGAAATTTAATAAATAATAATAATAACATATTAAACTAGTCTTTATGTGTGTGCGGTGTTTTGCACTGCCTTACAACGAACTTATTCCTGCATTGCAGGGGGTTGAACTGGATGACCCTTGGGGTCCCTTCCAGCTCTATAATTCTATAATTCTAACCTAATACAGATTAATCTCCCTCAGAAACCGCGTGTATGACGAAACGACCTCCCTAAAGGAAGGAACTAAGGAAACTACTATTCTTTATTCCATCGCATCCAACTGGAAAATGGAAACACGGCTTCTTTAAAGCCTGAATTTCTGGTCTTCCCCTCAAATGGCGGCGTCTTAAACGGCGCCAACCAGACTCTGCCCTCACCCAAAATGGCTACCGCCCTGTACGTTTTCTTTCCTATTTTCTTCTCATTCCCTGCCCTTTCTTGAGATGGCGGGCCTGCTGGCTTCAACGGCGCAGACGCCTTTTAGCGAAGAAGGCGGTCGCACCGCTTCCTTTTGCAACACAAACTCAAAAAAGTCTACGACCAACTTTTTTCGTTGTTGCCCTGAACAGCGATGGCAGCGCTGGAGCTACCAGACGCCGGTAAAGAAACCGCGCGCTTATTGGTTGGGACCACTAACAAGACGCATGGCCATTGGGTGGGCTGCATGTGGAGACGGCTCGGGCACTGTCCAGCGGCTGCTTGGAGAAGGGCGAGGGGAGGAGGAAGAGGGCGAGCTGGTGAGTTGGAGAGAGGAGGCGGTAAAGGCGGGGTCGAGCGTGCGGAGTAGTTTTATTTATTTTATTTTTTTCACATTGAGATGCGGGTGCTTATCAGTTTGTTTGCCTGAGGCAGGCGAGAAGCCCGAGGAAGGGAGGGAGGCGGCGGAGGTGAGACCTGGATAGGGCGGGCGAGGGGGGCGCCGCTCCCGGGTGGGGTGGCCGGCCGGTGTCGGGTCGGGCGCGCCTGGCGGATTGCGGGGCGAAGGAGGAGGCGGGGAGGGGGCAACTTGTGGGGAGGATCGAGAGGGGGGTGGAAAGCCACCATGTGGGGGGCAGATATTTGGGGCGGGGGGACCCCCATGAAGTTGGATGTTTTTTGTGGGGTGGGGAGGAGAAGGGCGGAAGGATCTGGAGGAAGCGTCTGAGGAGTCAGAGGGGGGCACCGTCCAGCCCCACACCTAACCCGGCTGTCAGGGGTGCGCGGAGGGACTGTCCACCCGGCGCCTTCTCTGCCTGGTGCTGCCGCTCTCCCTCGGAGGAAAGAGGAGCAGCCTCCGCTTCTACTCGCCTTGCCTTTCCTCCCGCCAGGGAGCGGTGCTGATCCTGCCTAGGGCAGAGCACCAGGGGGGTGGGGGCTGGATGAGGAGCCGACAGGTAATCGGAGGCAAGCTCTTCCTCCCCACACCGCCTCCTCCTCTGGAGCCGGCCCTTTTAGGTCAGTGAGGGAGGAATCGGCAGGAGAGCTAAAGGGGACGGATCTTGAGGCGGTGGGGATAGTTAGGAGGCGACCCCCAAGAGAAAGAGGGGCCTGACGGTGCCCGTGCTTACCTGTGTGGCGGGTGAACCTAGGCTGCGAAGCAGGACTGGGGGGGGGGAGAGAGAAAGGGATCCTGAATAGACAGCAGACCCCTTTCCTCCAGCATCCTAGAATTGCCACTGAAATCCAGTTCTGGGAGGGATCGTTGGGTCAGATGCAACCCTGGGTTATGGTTTCCCTTTTTCCACATGCCCCACATCCTCACCTTTTGAACGCACCAAGGGTCCATCACCAGGGATGGTGAGAGGCAGGAGCAGATGGGATGATGTCTCCACTTCCGTAGGTTTTTAATAAGCGTTTGTGTGTGTGGTTATCAAAGGGTGTGGCATGAGGGGATGACAAGTGTGGCAGGAAGAGTCAAGGACAGTCAATATTATATTTTGGCAATGATTCATATTCTTATGTAGATGCATTGTTTTATACTTTCTGGATGCCCCATGCTCGTATTATTTCATAATTCAAATAATACACAATACAAATATATATATTTTATAATGCAAACAAATAATCGATAATAATAAACCAGACAGGGTATACAGAAGCTCAAATAAAACTATTCTTTTGGTATATCCATTTTTTGCTAGTTGTTTTGGGCATCCAAATTGCATTGTAGTTATTTTTCCAGTTTCTGACATTTCTACTTCTACTCTTCCCTGGTAAAATTTTACAAAATCTCTGGCAATCCTTCACATTTGTGTTCCTTTTCCATGTTTTAGATGGAACAGAATGATTTAGTTCAAAATTGTTTTAATACCTCTTGTCAGTTGTTTCAAGGTAATGTGTTTTGTAACAGAGTAGTGCTTAATTTCCATGAAAACTTTTTTTGGTGCAAAAATATTGCAATTAATTTAAATGAATTTGCTGTAATACAAAAAAGAGAGTCAGGTTATTATGGTTTAATTCTGCAAATACCCTTCACTGGAGAGCCTAGACCCCTGTGATGTTAGCAATATAATTTTAATTACCATCTGCTATGATAAAAATTGTTTGAAAAATTATAAGTTACAGTATTATTTCAGCATTCCTTCCTCAGTTTTTACAGTTCCATGTATGCTTAGTAAATTTTCCCCATCAAACCCAAAACCCTTCTGAAGACTATTGACTTTTAACCTTTCCACTTGTCTGAAACCCCAATAAAACTCCTTTTGAGGGGAAATGTTCAGTTCTCTTTGAAGTCAGTCCAGGCTGCTTTGATGTTCAATGCCCATATTCAGGGCCTCACTTGCAGGTATCTGCCATTTGGGCTGTCAGATCAACAATGCTAGCCTCTAATGATTTTATTTTTGCATCCCATTTTGAAGCAAATCCTCATGCATTTTAGCTATGCTTTGATTAATTTCAGTCAGGAGGTCTTGTCCTTCTCTGGATAGTTTTAAGGCTTTTGGAACCAAGCTGGGACCTATGGTTTCTTTTTCAGTTAAGGTATCCTTTACCCTCATTCTCTGATAGTGAAGTAGCTTTCTTTCTTGTTCAGAGCCATGGCACTTTTGCATTCCTTGTTATCTTTGCTGATCAAGTTTTGAGGAGGATCGTTGATTACACTGTCCCTCTATGTCCAAGGGACAGAACTCCCATCTTTGCCTGCCATCTTTGCCTGGCATCACCCCCACCAATCTTCTTACATAGTTAAGAAGACCCAGCGAATAATTATGCTGCAAAACAGGAAATTGGATAAGTGGATTTTTAAGACTCCCATAAATGCTGCTAATACCTAATAAATATTAAAATACCGACTCCTGGGAGGAAAATATTTGGATGGAAGAGATCACAGTGTCTTTGCTGAAGGGAGCAGCTGTTCCAAGCTGGTTAGTCCAGGACTCTACTGAGAAAATATGGTCTGAGACAGCCTAATATTGCCACTGGCAGTAGCCCCAGCAAAATCACCTACCCTCTTCTCACTTGGCTGCTTGCCTCTTATTTGTTTCATCTTGCCATGACTTGGGACGCTTTTGTTGGCTTGAGTTTTATCACCCGGCATTACTCGGCATTTCCTACCCTTCCTCCCACAGTCTTCCTGGATCTCTTCTTGCCAGGGCTAACTTTTGAGAATAATCGCTAATGAGATGTCAAATGTGAGGAAGGTCACAGACAAGATGAATGTCTGAGCAAGGCTCCTGTCATGTGCGGAAACGTAAATCCACTAAAACGTTGGTCTGCCTTTAGTGTGTATCTGTGTTGCAGAGTTGGGCAACCCATGTCCCTGAACATGATGCTGGACTCCCAACTGCCATTAGCTCTTGCCAGCAAGGGCAGTTGGTAGAGTAGGAGACTCTTAATCTCAGGGTTGTGGGTTTGAACCCCACGTTGGGCAAAAAGATTCCTCCATCGCAAGGTGTTAGACTAGATGACGCCTGTGGTCCCTTCCAATTACAATTCTATGTACAGTACTGTAGACCAACACCAGTGCAAGGCAACAGGTTCCCTCTTTCTGTTCTGTTGAGCCCTTTAAAAGCCATGGAGTGCGTTTTCCAGCTTGGATTTCCTTCTGCCTTGCTTGCTGTAGTACTTGTCTTTGCAGTGCTTCTGTTTCTAGCCCCCACCTTTAATTTGCTGTCCCCCATTTGGCAAGTGCGTGCTTGATTTTACCCATCTCCCTGGGTGGAGGGATCTGCAGAAGCAACACATTGTCTCCCACTGAGAAGTTTTCCCTTCCTACCTGAGCTTCTAGTCTTGTAGCCCTGGAGAATCTCCGTGAAGGAAGGGCGGTTTTTTTGGTTGTTGCTAAGGTGCTATTTGCATGGCTCCTAATGATTTATAATTACCTTCTCTAAGGGGAAACCTAATAAGCTCTCATGCTGGCCTCTGTGTCTTGTTCAGTGCCATTGGAGGGATGCATGTTTGAGCCTGCTGGTCCAATAGAAAGGAGGGGGTGGCATTGCTAGGGGTTTTTAGTCAGGCTGTGTACCCCCCCCCCGACCCACATAGGGTTCAATGCTTACACACGCTTAGCTGGGAGGAAGTCCTATTGAACCCAGGGGAGAGAGGTCTACTTCTGAGTAGACAAGAACAGGAGTGCCCTCTTAACCATCCTTTGCTTAGTTCAGTAGTAAATGTGAAGTTTTCTCCAGCTAGCAAAGAGAATTGTGATTTGTCATCCGTGCAGTAGGTTTTGACAATCTGGGTGTGGTGTTACACATTCCAGGTTAATCTGGATTAAAGTAGCATTTGTCTTTAAAAGGCAGAACTATATCTGGGGACCATGGGAATGCAGTCATTTTAATTCTGGTTTTTTCCTTTTCTGAAGCAGAGAAGGGAGGAATGAAGACCTTGTGGGCTGTTCTGGGGCGGCCACCTTCCTGATGCCAGGAAGGGGTTTGGTGTCTCCCTTCTGAGACAGGCCATGGAGTGGCCCCTCCTTGAACGAACATCTGAGAGGAACCCTCAGCCAATGTCACACTTGGAGAGGCAGATCAGACGGCGAAAAATCCTCATCTACAGGTGAGAGAAAAGAGTGACTCTCCTCCCTGTCAAAGTCCTGAGTGGGAGAGGCGAGACAGAAACTGTGTCACCGCTGTGACGTTCTCTCTGTGTCCTTCCATGTTTCCAGGCCTTCCTCTGAGGAGCAGGAATCCTCAGCCCTGCTCCAGAAGCCCCTCGAGACAGGGGGGGCATGCCCCCTTCCATGTGGCGATGCCGAGCTGTCACCCAGCAAGAGGCAGCGACTTCAGCAGGGGCCGCTCCGAACGGCGGAGCAGAACGGGGAAGTTTGCGGCGCGGTGGGAGAGACCTTGTGGCAGGTGGCCTCTCCCATGGAGAAGCAGCAGCGGAAGATGCTGGCTGTCAACCTGGAGGACTTTTCAACATCCCAAATGCTTGTGAGGATGCCTCAGTGCGGGGGCTGGGTTGCAGGGGGCATGAGAGGATTCCTAATGGGCTGTATGAAATCTGGTTCTGAGGTGGGAGAACCCGTTGAACAGGTCTCGAGGCCCCAGTTCCATAGTTTCCCCCAGTGCTTTTCTCTCTAGAGAAATAGGTGCCGGTACTCACCGTGAAGTTGTTACAGTAAGTGCCACACTTTTTAAAAACAACAAAAAAGAGTTTCTGGTACTGCATACCCTTGAGAACCTCCTAAAAAAAAGCACTGGTTTTCCCACTGTGCACTGCAGCTCCCAGGGTGCTTTGCACTACCAGACCAGGAGAATTGTGACCTATAGTGTACCTCTTGCATTGTGATGGAGGAGTCAAGCCACTTGGATTAAGGACCCTGAAGGATGCCTTGTCCCCATGAGTTGATTCCTGAGTAAACATACACATGGAAGGTGGGGGGAAAGGGGAAAGGAGGCCCCTGTCCCTCATTATTCTTAAGCTCTTTGAAAGTTGGTGTGCGCCTCTCTTTACCCAGAATGATCCACAAGGGGGCTCTCCTCCCCAAAGACCTGCCACATCTCCCTGCGCAAATCCCCCCCAGTCAGCAGCTGTGAATGAAGACAGAGTTTCCTGGTCAACAAAGACACAAAGTAGTCCAGTGTGCAGGTGAGGAGAGGCCCCAGGGAGGCGGAAGGAGTGGAACAGCTTTGGGATCGAGCACCTGATTTAAAACATTCTGCCTTTTTTTTTACCCTTCCTACCCTCAGATCGTCTCCCCCTAAGGGCTACCCTCCATCCCATCGAGAGCCTCAAGAGAAGTGGGAGCACGCCCGCCGGCAACTGTGGGACAAGAGGGTGTGTCCCCCACAGTGTCGCGCTTCAGAGCGCCTGCACGCCAAGAGGCAGCGCCTTCAGAAGGGGGTTTCCCTTGCAAAGGGGAGCGAGGGGACAAAGACCTCCCTGCTGGAAGCGGCTCATCAGCAAATCCTCGCCACCAGTTTGGAGGCTGGTTCCTTGAGCCAAGCTCTGGTTAGTTAAGGTTGGGAAGCAGCCTCACCAAATAGCGCTGGGAGGGACAGGGAGAATCCTGTTGAAGGAGTTGGAGGGTGGCGGCTCAGTCCACATTTTGATTCAGCTGTCTTTTCTTGCTGGCAGGTTGCTGGCATTGGCAAGGAGCAGCCGGAGACCTCCTCAGCCCGCTATGGGTGAGTGCCCCCCTAAACAAAAGCAATGAAGGCACAAAACTGCTTGTGCCTCCCCCCATCCTTTAAAGACGATGCCAGTCACCCAGCAAGAGAACTGATCCACTTCAAGGGTTACAGTTGGTGCCTATTGTTCCATCCCAAACTCCCTTGGAGGGTAAAGTGATGGTCTCTTTCCTTTTGGGAGAAATGCTAACTTTGACCCCCTGGGTGTGTCTCAAAGCACGGGGAGGAGAGGGGCTAAGGAGACTGCTTTATCACTACCCCACTGTGTTTCTCTGCTTAATCAGGAGTGATCAGCTGATGCTGCCTCGCCAATCATCTCCAAATAGGGACACCCAAATCCCTCAAGACCCACAAGACCAGTGTCATCAAACAGGTAGGGAAAACTCTTGATTCAGGTGTTGTGTGCTGTTAAGTCTGTGCTTCAGTGCAAAGTGGCATCTCAGGGGTGTGCAAGTATTTTGTGTGTGTAACTTCACTGGAACTTCCCTGGTCCCATGGAGCCTGAAAACCCCTTTGGGAATGCAGGAAAAATTCCCATGTTGGACGGAATCCAGGCTGGATGATCAGTCATCTCCCACCCATGGCAAGGGTTTATGGGGCTAGCTGAAGCGGGCAGAGACTCAGGCATCCAGATGGGAGTGCCAAGAGTCAAGCTGAGCTGAATATCAGCTGGCCAGAGTACGCTCCAGAAATCTTGAGACCAGTTAATAATCTAAGAAAGGCAACAGCTAAGCAGCTGGAGGAAGATTCCCAGGTGTAAACAGAAGGGGAAGATGTCTGTATCCTTCACAAAGTGTGTGTGTGTCAGTGTGTTGGGGGATGACAACTCTTGACTCTAGGTCAGAGATTGGAAACCTTTGGCCCTTCAGATGTTGCTGAACGACATCTCCCACCAGCCCCAGCAAGCGTGGCCAATGGGCAAGGATGATGGGAATTGTAGTCCCATAGGCCTGGATGACCCCAGTTTGGGGAAGGCTCCCTTTGGCCCTCTTGTGACAATGTTGTTCCTTTCCCTTCCTGCCAGATGTATCCACTGAAGCTCCATCCTGGCTGCCTTCAGCATCTGCTCTCTTGCGTCCATCGTCTGCCTCCCGTTTCCGGCACTGGGGTCTGGTCCCCGTCTTCCAGAGCGTGCGCTCCAAGCTGGAGGCCTTTGCTGACATCTTCCTGACCCCGTCCAAGCCAGCCGTGCAGTCCACCGAGGGGCTCTCGTCCCTGCCCCCCTGCCCTCCAGGGAATGAGGAGCAGGAGGCAGCCCAGCCAAGAACACCCCGCCAAAGAGTCAACATCGAGGTGAAAATCGCCATTTCGGAACCACGCCCCCGGAAGAGGAGCTGCCACCACGAGGAGGAGGAAGAAGAGGAGATAGGTGACGCGGTGGTGAGCGGGCGGCCCCCTATCCGCCAGTGGCGCCTGAACGAAGGGGACCCGGCCCCACAGCCCCGCCTCGGACGCAGCTACTCCTGCCCTGACGTCCCTGGTGCCCGCTTGTGGCAAGCCTCCCCCGTGGCCCTTCCGCTCTCTGCGCAGCTGCGACAGCGTCGCCACACCGTCTGCAGCCTGGAAGTGTCCCGGGAGCTGGGCCGCCCCACCCCGCCCTGCCTGCGCAAGGAGGTGTATCCTTTCAGCACGCCCCCCGCACACTTCCTGCTGGGTCCCTCCGTGCACGTTCCCCACTGTGATGGCTCCCCCTATGCCTCCCATGTGCCTTCCTGCCGCCGTGAACCAGATACCGTCCATTCCAGGTAAAAATATTCTCCTCCCCACAAGCTGTTTGTTATCCCTCAAGAGTCTAACAGCTGTTCCTTTGAACACCATAAAAGGGCACAGATGACATGTTAGGTAAGTTTGCTCCTTTCCCATTCAAAACCAAGAGGGAGAAAGAAGCAAGCAAGCAAGCACTGTGGGGTTGTTTGTGCCATTTCTAGGGTGGTTGTTTAAAAAACCTCAGAGGCTGAATCCTCCTTGAAGTGGACTTATTGAAGTTAATGGATCCAAGTTAATTTCATTTACTTCAAGGGGTCTATTTGGAAGAGGAAATATCTAGTGTGTATGTGGAGGAGTTGTGTCCTAGTGCTGAGGCACATCCTTTGCACGTCAGAGATCTATTGTTCTATCCCCTGCACCTCCAGGCAACAGCTTGAGTGACAGTTTTGGAAAAGCCCCTTTCCTAAAAACCAGGCAGTGGAGATGATGTCAGACCAGAAGCACCGGAGGTCTGATTCTCCATGAGGCATTTCCATTCATTGACTAGTGCTGGAGGCAAATGGGCTGAGCCTCTTCCCCCTTTGGTTCTGCCCACAGGCAGAAAGGCTTTGCACCCTCGGTGCTGTGTGGCATTGCTTTACTGGTTTGCCTTCCTCTTTTAAAGTCCCCTCCACTGAAGAGGGAGAACTGTCAGCTGGGAAACATCAACGTTTAACGCTAATACTCGATGCTTGGTTTCTCCTCTGTCCTCCGCAGGGAGCTCTCTCCCTCGCCTGATCATGGACGGAGGGTGTCTGGGATTGGCCTGGACGTGGTCGACTCAGAGTTGCTCACGTCGGAGCAGATGATGCTTTCAGAAGTTGAGATGAAGGTCAGTTGCTGTTTGACTCAAGCTTCTCAATTAGGAGGTGCTGCACCATGAAGAATGGGGGTCTGTGGTACCTGCTCTCGGTTTGAGGGCCATTTTGCTTTGCCATTGTGGCCTTTCAAAATCCTTCTTAACCTCCCTAAAACCTGCAGGGATCCCAAGACAACACCGTAGGGAAGGTGTCCTCCATAAGGATCCGCAAGACACCGTCCAAGCAGCAAGCAAATCTCACTCCCATGGGGCTTCCCCGGCCTGTCAGGTGAGGGCTAGAGTGGAATGGAGGGCGCCTTTCTGCAAAAGGAGACGAGTAGCTTGTGAATTAGCCTGACAGTGGTTTAGGAACTCTGGATTCAGATTCCACAGTGCTTGGAAAGGAGGCAGATGTGGTCTTCTATAGCCTGGGGGCAGATGAATGCTTTATGAGAGGGGGCTCACCTAAGGAAAGGTGTAAATGGTTTTGGGGTTTTTAAAATTAAAAGCACTAGCTGAGTTGAACATGCCAGTCAAGAATTAGGGCTGTCCACCAATGTTAAGGATTTGTTAGTTGATCATCTGTCTGTCAACTGAAACAAATGCAGAGCCTCTCTGACAGGGACCACTTGAGTGGTGGAGAGTGTGCTGACTCTGGTACTCTTGGGCAATAAAAGCAATAAAAACCCAGTGGGCTAAACCATTGGGCCTGATTCAGATTGAATTTCAAGCTTAAGAGGTAAGCTGGTGGTTTCTGGGCAGAGCATGGGAGCAAAGCGGGGTAACAGGGAAAGCAATCTGGTGCCCAGCAGGGCTAAGTGAGTATTCCTATATATCTATATCTACACGCACACACACATATTTTATCGTAGGCCAAGGCCATTTCTGGGTGATGAACTCTATTCTCTTCTTTCCTGTGTCAGGTTGAACAAGAAAGAGTTCAGCCTGGAGGAGATCTACACCAACAAGAACTACCGCACACCCACAGAGAAGAGGTGAGGAAGTGAGGAAGTCTGCTGGCATCTGTCCTTTTCTAAAACACCAGCATTCATTACTTTTATGTGCACACACCCTTCTCTCTCTTTCCCCTCAGTCATTTCAAGCCAGCAACCCCAGATTCTGACTCAGCATCCGCAAGCGATAAGCACTACCTCCTGCAGTCTGACTATATTTGTGAACATTCATAGTTTGCTCCCCCAAAAACGGGATGAGGATAGTTATGGGGCAGTGGTGGTGACAGGGGCATAGAGCAGTAGTGTACAAGCTCTCCCTATTTTCTGAGCCTTTGACATAGAGGAATATAAGAGCCCTGCTGGGCCAGACTGAAGGTCCACCTAGGCTAACCTGCTGCCTTTGGGAAAGCCTGCAAGGAAATGAATTAAATTACCCATTATCAATAAGACACTTAAACAGAGGTGTTTTAAAAACATTCAAAACTGATTGAAATCAACAAAGGCAAATGAAAACACATGTAGCTTCTACTGGTCTGGATAGGCTTGCCTAAACATGAATGCTTTAAGCAGGGGCCAGAAAAAGTGCAACCAAGGCACCTGTGTGATGTCAGTAGGCAGGGGGTTCCAATGTGTAGGTGCTGCTGCAAGTTCCTCTTCTTGAAGTGGTTGAGTGGGCAGATATGGAGAAAGGCAATCCCAAAAGTAAACACTAATCTTGGGCAGCTGGTAGTCAGAGGCATATTATCTCTGTCCCTAGAGATCCTACTAGTCATTGATAAGCCTTATCACCCATGAACTTCATAATCCCCTTTTAAAGATCTCCCATTTGGTGACCATCGCTGCACCTAAACCAGGGTCAGAGAACCTTTTTCACCTAGTGGGCCAGATCCTAACTTGACGGCAACTGATGGGCCATATTTAACAGGCAGGTGGGACAACCTACCTGTCCGTCACCATGTCAAGTGATTGGTAGGTGGGCTGTCCCATCTAGCTGTCAAGGTCCACTTTTGTTGTGGATTGCCCTGAGATGAAGGGTGGTGTACAAACTTAAGAAATGAAATGAAATGGCCCTGCTGGTCCTGTAGCACCAAGTGGTTTGCCTTAAAACCTCAGTTGAAACGGGGGAAATGCAGTTTCAAGAGAAACTGGTGCTATTGGAACAAGCAAAAAAGCACTCTGGATTTCACTGCAACTCTTTTGTAGCCTGACTGGACCAGCAGTAAATAGAACACAAGTGAAATGCCAACCACTTACAGTTTTAACATCTGCCCCGTATCCTGAAAGCAATATGCAAATAAGTGGATGAACTGTGGTCCTCTAGCTTATGATATGTTTCGTCAATGGCCCTTGGAACTGATAAATCTCTCAGTCCCCGTGCTGTACTTCATGGTCACTGCTGCACCATCTTTCTGCTCCTGTTGCTGCCCTCAGAATTTTATCTACTTTCCTGAGAAGTGCTGCTTTTAATTTAGAAGTTTCGAGTTCTTAAGATGGATGGAGCAAATACTTGACATGAGCAGTGAATGCCAAAAGCTCTGAATGCGAAGGGGACCTTGGGCTGGGAGTTGTCTTGAGTTTTCTATGAAGGTGCCAGGACATGTTCTGTGACTTCTCATTCCTGCCACCCTCCAAACCTCTTTGGTGCTTTTTTTGTGTGCCACATGTTGCCAAAACATCCCGATTTTGACCCATGCCTTAAAACCAGACTGCATAATGGCAGAGCGTGGTGACCTTAACCGTTGCATTGTTCGTTCCAGCCACAAAATGTCAGCAGTTTTGTAGTTAGTTTGCATTTGTTTATGCTTTTTATACTGCTAGGCTTGGTTAGTGGAGTCTGAGAGGTCGCCTCATTTTCCTGGTGTCCCACCTCTTCCTTTCTACCCCTGCAGGTCATTTGAGACCATCTTTGAGGTGCCTCTGGAACGCAACGGAGCGCTCATTTTCACCAGCCAGCGCAAGCTGAAGCGGGCCATGGAATTCCAGGAGGGAGGCCTCCCTCGCAAGCAGCGCAAAGCCCACTCCCGAAGGAGTCGCAGGGCAGCAGGAGGGCGGAGGGTAAAGAAGCCCCAGAGTCCAGAGCTGGAGGAGAAGCTGCAGCAGCGGCTGGCTGAACTGGATGCCCTGTTTGAGGGAGAAGAATGCTGAGATCTGAGCAGAGGCTAGAGGAAAGGGCAGCACCCCGAGGAGCCCAAGACCACTTCCTCTGTTTAACTAGCAAAAGAGGTTGCTGGTGTTGTTGTTGTTTTTTAAAAAAACTCTACCAAAGTCACCAATACCACTCCAAGTTTCTCCTGTGGTGCTGTTTATTCTCCACTTCCCCATCAAACTGGCCTTCTGTGCCTGTTGCCTCCTCCTCCCTTGATCAGTCTCCGAGCCACAAGCTTTGCTGCTTTGAAAATAGTGCCTGGGTGCCTATCTGTGCCACCTGGCCCAGCCAGCATGCTGCCTGCTCTGGCACCGCGCGAGTCCCCTTTCGCTTGGCTCTTTGGCTCACAAGTGGAAGGGGAAGAATGTTTGTGGTGCCCCAGAGTTGCCTGTCCTCTACACTCTTCCTCCTGTGCCCAGTCAGACCACCAGTGCCGTGCATGGGAGGAGCACCTAGTGCCCAGCGCTGTTGTGCCTTCTGTGAGAGACTTAGGCCAGCAAGGGATGGGCCTAGCCAAGTGAGGGCCTAGTTGCCTTTTCTGGAGCGGCCATCGCCATCAAACCAAATAGGAATGCAGAACCGACGTGCCTGTTGGATGGGAAGGAGAAAGAAAAAAGGGACTGTGTGAAAGAATCAGCAGGAGCAGGTTTTTGTTATGGCACAGGGGATGATGTGGAGGAAGAGACGATGTAGCAATAGGCTGGGCAATGGGAACGTGTCCACCTGTTTAAGCACAGACAGTGGATGAGAGGCTGGGAATCCTGAGAGAATGCCTTTGCATCTCTGGATCAAGGCCTCTGGGTGTTCCTAGCTTGGATCAACTGTTTTGTTAGGAATGATGTGTTTTTTGTTTTCATTTTTTATTAATCTATATTTCTAATAAACTTTGTATCTTGGGGGGAGGAAAAAACCACATATTGCCAGTTGCTCCTTAACTGGCCTTGTTGGGAACCTGAATGCAGCTTTAATGGAGACCGCAATAGATAATTTTGCCTTGGAACAAGGGCATAGCGACCAGAAAATGAAAATCCATAGCAAGCAGTGGATCATATATCATTGGCACACTAAATTAATTTCCCCAGCCAATGGTGCCTCCTACCAGGGATGGTGGTAGGTGCATTGGCTATGGCAAAAAGCAAAATTGCTGTGATGTGGGATCAAATGGCAAGAAAGAAGTCGTGTGAACTGCACCCGGTTGTACTACAATTGTACATGTATAAGAGGCTACAACAACTAACAAAATATGTGGATTTGTGAAGTCTGCGGTGCATTTTGTGCAAATTCAGTAGCTGTGCCCACTTTAAAATCTGTTTTGAGGTGGTACGTTCACCTTCAAAACTACCATAGTCTAGAGTTGACATAGCTGAAATCCACTCTGTTGTTCGTTACAGGAAAAGACAGTGTGTCTGATTGATTCCTCATGGTTAGTATTGCAACAGTAACATCTCATTTTATCAAATTAACAGGTTTTGCGTGGGAGTGGAGACATTTCCATCCTATTCACTCTCGCAGGCCTTTCTTTGGTCCGTTTGTCTACTGGAAAATGCCTTTTCTTGTTAGTTAACTGCTTAGGATGTATTGAGCAGCTTTTATCCCAGTACAGTAGGCTCTGGTCAAAGTTTGCAAGACTCTGAAGCCCTGACAAAAGTTCTGCTGCTCCTTACGTGCATCAGGAGAAAGGTCCCCCTGTCTATAGTTATGTAAACTGCTTAGAGGTTTTGATGCTATATAAAACTTGTTAAATAAACATGGTACACCTTCCCTCCATACTGTTGTGGGTGAAACAAACTCTTTCTTCAAGGCTTAGGTTGGCTACATTCATTCTGTACTTTCGCTTCTGTTCAGTATTTTTTATTACCTTTGCTACAGTGTCATCTGGCAGGCCTTGCCGTCAGGTGCTTTTCTGGGTGGGGATGGTTGCATTTTTCGCTAACCTTGCTCCGCTGTGTATCTCAGACTTCTCTTCCTCTCAGTCCTGCCTGCTTTTATTAATTTACAGGTTTTAATATTGCACAGTATACGAAGGACCTGGGCTGTGAACATACCCATAAAAGAGCACACAAAACTTATGCCAACATCTGGATGGTGATACGCAATAAATTATTGGCTGAACAACGCATTGGAAAAGCAAGCAGAAGAGGTTTAAGTGGGCATCTGAAACAAAGTACTTGTGGTGTTTGCTTCATGGTAATAGGGAGTTACAGAACCTAGGTGTAGACACATTAAATGCCCTCTTGTAGAAGAAACAAGGCAAGCAGAATGTGGTACCCTTAGTAGTCCCAGCTGCTGGACCAAACCTAATCAAAGCCTTGCCTAGGATGCATCACTGTATTGTATAATGTTGAGCTTACAAACATCTGACACACAGTGGCCAAGCTATCCCAATCCAGGAATTGTCCTCCCAGACAAAGGTTTATAGATGGAGTTCCTGGCTATTGAGACCACATGGATCCAGGAGCACCTTCAAGATGCAAACCACCCAAGGGAGAGTCTGGAACAGACAATTTGCCTCCTGGACTTGGGAACCACTCAACCACAGTCTTACTGCGATTCATTCAGCCCACTGGTCCAGGGTGTGTGCAGCCTAACCTGAATCAGATGTATAAAAGAAGTAGAGCGGAATGTTGCATACTGATGACATCCTGTCCCAAAATTCCTAGCAACTTTATACGTATGGTAAAAAGACATTGGTGATAAAGTGGTGCCTTGTGGTGCACCATAATGTAAAACTGCTGTGGCACCAATGAGTATCTTTTCAACTGGACCTAAACCTGCAGATAGGATCAGAACCACTGCAGTGCAGTCCCTCCAATACCCAGCTCACAAGAGTTGGTCCAGGAGAATGTCATGGTCAATGATATAAAAAGCTTCAGAAGGAGGAGAATGGTTATACTCCCTGTGCCTTGCTCTCAGTAGAAGTTCTCCATCGGCGCCACCAAGGCTGATTCAGTCTCACAATGGGAGACTGAATTCCTCTTATGGGAGCGAATTCCATAGTTTATGTGCTGTGTGAAGAAGTATTTCCATTTGTCTGTCATCGTCATTGGTGACTTTGTTAATTGCTTTATCTTGCCCAGGGCAACTCAAAGCAACTTGCAACCAAACAAGAGAGAAGACCCCACATACATACATTAAAACCAAGAGGAAAAGTGAATACATTAAAAACATCCCATCCACTTCTAAAAGGCCACAAATAGTTAAAAGGCTGAAGGCCTGGTTATAGAGGAAAGTTTTTTCCTGTTGCCTGAAGATATGTAATGAAGGTGCCAAGCAAGCCTCCCCGAGGAGAGCATTCCACAAATGGGAAACCACTAAAAAAGGCCCATTCTTGTGTTCCCACCCTCTGGACCTCTTGTGCAGAAGACATACAAATAAGGGCTTCAGTGACTGCAGGGTCTGAGAATAAAGTTTTAATATTCAGTTTCTTTGGAGATCCACAAGTTCTAGTGTTGGGGAGAGGAATGCCTGCAGTTGTTATGCTACAACCTTCTCTAGGCACCTTACTAATAATATACAACTGGTTGGTAGTTACTCTGCATCAGAGGGTCCAGGGTGCCCTTGCCTTGTTGAGAACACTGGAGACCACCCTCTTAAACAGACATGCATTAACTACATTCTGAACCTGCCCACTCACATATTTTCTGCTCGTTTTTATTAGCAAATGAGGGCGAGGAGCAAGAGACCACATATGGTAGTTAGACTCATTGCTGCAAGCACCCTGCCCACATAGTCAGGCCACATCATCTGAAATTGATCCTACACCAGTTTAGACATGCATGGCATTGGGCACCTCAACAGACTGCAACAACGAAGTCCTTCCAGAGTTCAGCGACTTTGTCTTCAAGGTATAAAGCAAAAGGACCACAAAGACTTTGGTTATCTAAACACAAGTATGCATCTAGAATAATAGAAGGGACCTCAAAACACGTTTAGTCAGCAGTTATACAAAATCTGCGACTGCTCCATCCACTGTGGTTAAAACAGCTCATATCATCAGTAAGTTCTTTATAATGTTTAATTGAAATCCCCTTGTAATTTGAAGCTGTTAGTTTGGATCTACCCTGAATGACAGGAAATGAATTTGTGCTATGTAATAGCAATTCAAAAATTCAAAAGTTGCTGCTCTATTTCTTCTTAAATTTTCTAATTGGACTTGATTTCCTTCCCCCTCACTGTACTGGAGGTCTTCCTCTGAGCAAGCTCCAGTTTTTAATTAAACTCTAAATCAGGTTGTTGATAATGTCCCCCCCCCCATTTCTAATTCTCTACAGTCACAGTGCAATATAAACTTCTGTCAAAGTTAACAACAATGCAGAAGGATTGATCATGTCTGATTCATCATAGTTTCAGCTACTTTTATCTGACCAAAGTCTATAACAATTTTTTCAAACAAATGCTTTTGAAATCCAGTGCAGGGCTATTGCTATTGGAATAGTATCAAGGCTGAGAGCTACCCCTGTAAAAAAATCCCAGAGCCGTTCTTCCAGACAACGCAGACAGTCCTCTACTACTGAATGAAGGGTTCAAAAGTACTACTTTATGCGGGAGCTTAGAAAGTAACAGTTCCATTGCGGAAGGATGGCATCACATGGTAGTGTTGTGACGTCATCAAGTTCTCCTTCGTCCTCAACGGGCTGCTACAGCAGAGGCATGTGGCGCTGAGCCCTATGACATCACGCGCTGGCGTCATAGCATCACCGTCCGAGGTTGCTGCGAAGAAAGTATGACATCATTGCATCACGTTTGTCTCCGTGAAACCATGACGTCACCCTGCGGAGGACGGAAGTGACTCTGAAGGCGGGGGTGTTGGTTTAAGGGAACACCCTCCACCTCGAACAGTCTCCAAGGGGCGGGTGGGCGGAAACAGAGGCTAACCGAAGGGACTATTTCCTTTTCTTTTTCCAGCGGAAGGATTTTTTAAATGGTTCCATCAACGCAGCGGGCGGAGGGATATGACGCTGTGGGAGGAGTTGCGTGCCGTGCGCAGAGACGAAGGGGATCCGGCAGAGGCTGCTAGAGGGAGAGGGAGAGTCGGGGGGCAGCAGCGGAGACGGAGCGGGGAGGGGGCAAAGGACGGCCAGCCGAAAGGGCCCCCCACCCAGGCGCGAGGGGGACGGGAGCGCCACGCCAGCCCGCCTGCCGGCCTCCCTCCCTGCAGCCGGACCCTGCCAGCCAGCCAGCCACCCCTCCCCCATCCTTACTCACCTCACCGCTTCGGCCAATCAGCTGTGGGGGGGCCGCGACGAGAGCGGAGGGTACCAGCCTCGCAGCCAATCAGCGTCAGGGGCTCGCGGGGCCGCTTGCCGCGAGCCTGGACGGAGGCGAAAAGGTGGGGTGAGTTGAACAGCCCCCTCAACGGCCGGCGCTCTTAAAGGGACAGCTTGGGGGGGCCGCGAGAAGAGGGGGCACTTTCCGCCGGAGGACAACAACCCCCCCTCCAACCGCCAGCGCCTGTCAATGGATTTAAAGGGAGCTCGGCCCTCTTAAAGGGGAGTTCTTCTCGGGCCCTCATTGTGGCTGAGAGGGAGGGGTGGCCCTTAAAGGTGAAATTCGGGTTTCTCCGGAGGACCTTGAACGCTGGATCCTTAAAGGGCAGCGCAAGCTGACAAGGAGGAAAGAGAAATGCTTGGAGGGCTTTTCATTCCGGTCGCTGGGAGAGTCGGTGTCTGACAAGGGAGAACTTTAAATCCACATTCTTAAAGGGGAGGCCATGCTTTGGCAGGAAATGTGTGGCGGACTCAAAATCCAACACTCTTAAAGGGGAAATTGAGAGACAGAGATCCGGACCCTTAAAGGCAAGGTCACACCCTGTGGGAGGAATCCGGGAGGCCTCTTCTTCACGGACCGAGGTTCGCGAGGAGGAGGAGGAGGAGGAGGAAGAAGGTGCCGCTTCCCGGGAAAGCAGAAGAGGAAGAAGAGATGGCCCCGCGGAGCCGCTTCCCTCGCGGGGAGCCCTCGGCCGAGCGGAGGAAGTGAGTTGCCCTCTGGGCGGAAGCCGCTTGCCATTGTTGGCAGGAGCCACCTCCGCAGTCTTAAAGGGGAGGCTGCCCAGGCTGGCAGCTCCGTCGGGGGCGAACCCCCAATTCCCCTGAGGGAAAGTCGAAAGTGACAGTTTCGCGGTTCGTCTCCGAAAAAAACCACACAGATAGGCACTTAAAGCAAAGGCTTCCTTCAACCTGCAAGAAAGTTGCCATGCGCTGGGGTTTGTTTTAAAATTGGGTTTTGCAAACAAACAAATATATATATATATATTTAAAGGCACACTGTGTCGCAGTTGGAGGGATGTAAAACCCTTGTCCAAGGCGAGGGTGTTTTGACAGATTTCCTTCCCCACCCAAACAGGAGGCTCCATGTTAGAGAGAGATCTCTGTGAGCTGGCAGGGGCTGATTTTATGTAAAGGAAGAAAAAGTTATTGGATCACCTTCCGCTTCTTAGAGTTCTATGTTGAAAGTATTTAATTCTTTTTAATTTAATGGTCTTGCCTTTAAGACAAAGACCAAAAACAAGCAGAAAAAAACCAGAAGCTGCCATCCCTGTCACTTGAGAGGGAATTAAACTTGAATGAAAGGAGAGTTGTTTTGACTTTCCCAGAGCAAAAAGGATCCACTTGTGTTGAGTGGGCTCTCTAAATGTAAATCAAGGAAAGGTTGCTGACAACTGTAAGGTGTAAAGGCCAAGGATTTTTTGTTTTGGCCACAAAATACTAAACCCCCTTTTTTACGGAAAAGAAGAGAGGAGTTTCGTTCTTGCTTTTCCAAGTGGCATCTG